TATATTTTGAGGGCAGTGCCAACAGGATTCTTTGACAGATTGGCTGGCTGCGGGACATTCGAGAAGAAAGAGTAATCAAAAAGAGGACTCCAAGGTTTTGGTTTTTGATTTCTTCCTGGACATGATTTTATTTGATTTAGAGACATGTTTCTGAAAATTTAGGTGATTTTTTTCTGAGATGAGGGTGTTTAAACTTTTAATACTAATTTCTACTTTTACTATATTGCCTATTGGCCAGAGAATTTGGGTAAGCTTGTAAAATTTCTACTCTCTTGACAGCTGGTATGGAGAAAGAAAAACTTGAGTTTTAAATCCATCTCCACCTACACTTGCTCAGTGACCCTGGAAAAATCACTCACTTCTCTGAGCTTCAGTTTTCTCCTCCATAAAAAGGAAATTACAAGACTTAATTCCACAGGGTTGGAGGAAACAGACAAAGACCACCCAAATGAGAACAAGCAGGCTATTCATTCAGAGTTTGCCATTGCAAGAGGGTCAGCCCCCATCACTTGCATTGGACAAAGACTCAAAGGCAGCAGGGTAGTGGGAGATCCTTACAGTGAAAGAGAGAGAGAGACAGACAGACAGACATACAGACAGACAGAAGGAGTTTCAGATAGTGTCTGACTGCAGATTGTGCTCTTGGAGAAGCTGGAGGTTAGCTAATTACAAGTAGGGGCACCTTGTGTGATTGGATGGGGGAGTATATTTGATTTTGGTCAATTCTTAGCTGGAAACTTGGGTAAAATAAGGGAACCTGGTACTCATTGACCAAGTTCTGGCTCTTCTGGGCCAATCACTGTCTGATTTGGCTTCTTGGACTAGTTGCTGCAAAGTGAAGATCAGAGTCATATATGTCATATAGTTGAGGCTTGAAGGTCATACTTGGTCCGGCCATTGTCTGTATATTCAGTCTGAGGTTCTTGGGAGGAGTAAATGAGGTGTATGTGTGAAATTAACAGGCATATAGTAAATAATAAAATATTAACTTAGAGATTTAAAAAAATTTTTTTATTATGGCCTAGTTATGTAATCCTTTCTTTGTTTTCTTTTCCTAATCCAGTATGAAAATAATTTGTTCACCAGTAACACATGAATGCAAACTAATATGTCAAACAGTATCAAAGTGTAGAATAAAAACTGAAAATCCTACTTCATCTTTTGCATAATCTCTGCTCTCTCCATAGATAAGTACTGGTGCCAGTTTACTATGGATTTTTCCCTATCTTTGTTTTATGTGTTTATGTATGTGTATATTTATGAATGTGTTATATATGAACATATAACTATGTATGAGCATATGTATTTATGTATAATACATATATATGAAGCTTTTGCATAAATGACCATTGATAATATTTTCATTAAATATTATGAAAAATTCAGACATGCAGAATGTTATAAAAACAGTACAAGAAGAGCATGTATCTGCTACCCCCAGTACATCTCCCACACAAACCTAGAGCTAACTGCTACCTTGATTTTGACATTTATCATTCTGCGTAGCAAAGAATTTAACCTAGGCTGAAGAGAGGTCTGGCCTTTGCGCTTGGCTCCCGGGGGGTAATTTCTAAATCCCTAGAATGTCATGCCTGAAAACAGTATCTGTTTGCCTTGTCTGTGGGCCTTGCAATCCACTAAATTGTCTAAAAATGTGATTTAGGGCAGGGGCTGGCCACACCAGATAGTTTCACAGTGTGACTTAGAGTGGGGTCCTTGGATCACATGACATCAGCTCAACTTCAAAGGGAGCTGGAGACTAGGATCAGCCACAGGTGCTGTCAGTGTGCCCACATGACAAAGGTCTAGTGAAAATGACACAAGGTTTCAGTGAGCTTCTCTGGTTGTCATACTCTCTGTATTGTCACGTATCATTGCCTGGATATTTAAGTGATGCGCTCCATGACTCCACAGAGAGAGGACCACTGGAAGCTCTCAGGTTGGAACTTTCCTGGACCCTGCCCTCTCTGCTTCCCTTGATTTTAGTCTATATCCGTTGGTTGTAGTAAACAGCAACCACGAGTATAACAGCTTTTGGTGAATTCTGTGAGTACTTCTAGTGAATTATTGAACCTAAGGGTAATCATAGAGGCCCTTGAAGTTGGTGTCAGAAATGAGGGTAGTTTTAGAGACCCCTGGAATCCGCAGCTGGTGTCAGAAGTGAGGGCATCTTGTTGAATTGTTCCCTGACTTCACAGTTAGCATCAGAAATGAGATTCTGGGGAGCAAACCTGACTCTGAAATGTGGTTTGGGAAGAGGAAGGATGTGAGGTCAGGGGATGATGAACTTTAGATTCCTGAATGGCCTTGAGGTCACCCACCAGTATGTAAATACAACCATTCTGCAATCAGTTACAGGAAGTGAAAATTATCGGGGGGTTTTTCTAAAAATTATGGGTCTAATCCCCAAGAAGCTGGAGCACTGGTTGCATGAGAAAATGCAGAATGACAAGAAAGGAGCTAAATATACAATCTCTTGGTTAATTTTACATAATAGCTAAATGAAAGTAAATAAATGGACTGGGGTAGATCCTGACACTGGGCCACGCCTGGGTTCTGTCCAGTTTGAGCTACAGCTGCTAGCCTCAGGGCTGCTACTAAAAGAAAATGTCATGTTGAAACAACAGATAGCAAAGGAAATTAGAGTAATTCACAAGAGAATGAAGAAAGACAAAAGGGTATCAACAATAAAAATAAAGTTAAAAAAAGAACTTCCTTACTAATTAAAAAAAAAAAAAAAGACAAAGAATCCAAAGGACTCATTCCAACAGGAAGGAAATCTTTTAACAGTTATTAAGAAGTGGGATGAATGAAGTGGACATTGATGGAGTCAAAACAAAGGTCCCAGTGCAGCCCTCTTGGAATTCGGGTGGACCAGCAGAAACCTCAGCTTTGAAGATCCCTAATCCAGTCTGCTCTATCAACCCTAGTTTGGAGGGAATTTGCAAAGCCAGAAGTGATATGACAACGTGAAACCTGACATCAGCTGCCTGAGGTGATAGTCTCATAATCTAATCAAGATAAAAATTGATAAAAGGTCCTGGGTTCCTTGGTTCACCCCCAGCTGGGGACTCAGAGCTATATGCATATCAGTGGGCATGAGAAGAGATTCCTGAGACTCCTTAATGCGGGAGCCCTCTGATTCTAAAACCCATTGGAGAGTCCCAGTGGGAGTCATAGTTAGATTGGGATGACATGAATGCAGGCACTGATGGATTAGGGCAAGAGTTTGGATGAAAATTGGAATGTTTGAACAGATTATATGAAATCATCGTGTCTCCTCATTTACCTGAATGTAAATAGATACTCTGTCTGACTGGGGAACATTTCCCCAATAGTATTAGAAAACTGGAGGCTCATAAACCCTTCCTGCAACCAATATTGATTGGACATGGTAAATGAGAACCAATAAGCTTTCCCAAGTCCACACAGGTTGTACTGTAATTTGCAAAGTATAGGATATCTCCTGGAAAACACCTGTTAGAAGCCCAGCATTTGGTTGGCTTATTTGGATTTTGGATGATACATATTCACATATATCTGTGAATATTACTAGCCTCTATTTATAAAACTAGCAGAAAAAAGTCTTGGAGTCCTTATGCAGATGTAGCTTATGGCAAAAACCAGTGAACACCACTCAGTAGAACACTGGGATTTGGGGTCAGAAAATTTCCATTACAGAGATAACTAGGTGGTTATTGGTCCTTAATTGAAACTGCCCCTATGCCAAGAGACATATGAAGAAATGCTCAACATCACTAATCATCAGAGAGATGCAAATTAAAACAACAATGAGGTATCACCTCACACCTGTCAGAATGACTGCCATCAACAAATCATCAAACAACAAGTGTTGGCGAGGGTGTGGAGAAAAGGGGACTCTAATACACTGCTGGTGGGAATGCAGACTGGTGCAGCCGCTATGGAAAACAATATGGTGCTACCTCAAAAAATTAAAAATTGAACTTCCATTTGACCCAGTGATCCCACTGCTGGGAATATACCCTAAGAAGCCTGAAACACCAATCAGGAAGAATATATGTACCCCCATGTTCATAGCAGCACTATTTACAATAGCTAAGATCTGGAAACAGCCCAAGTGTCCATCAGTAGACGAATGGATAAAAAAGCTGTGGTACATATACACAATGGAGTACTATGCAGCGGTAAGAAAGAAAGATCTCTTATCCTTTGAGACGACATGGAGGGACCTGGAAAGTATTATCCTAAGTGAAAGAAGCCAAGCAGAAAAAGACAAATACCACATGATTTCACTTATATACGGAATATAATGAACATAACAGTCTGAGGAATACAGTAGACCCAGACACATGGAAGTAGGGCACAGACTAACATCCCTCAGAAGAGGGGATGGGGGGTGGGGGGGTGGGAAGAGATAAACCACAGAACTTATATGCATGTATGCATGACCAATGGACATGGACAACTAAGCCGGGGACAGGGTGGAGGGGGGGTGGGGTGGGGGGGTGCCAATGGGGTAAAAAGGTAAAATGTCTGTAACAAAAAAATAAATAACAATTCATAAAAAAAAAGAAAAAAAAAAAAAAAGAAAGAAACTGCCCCTATGACTGAAGGACATAAAATAGTCCTGAAACCTGAAATGCCCGTGACATCCTGGGTAATGTTGAATAAATATGCTAATAAGGAAGGCTATGCCCAGAAGAGTTCCATAATAAAACGGAAATGGTTTATAGAGGAAGATGCTACCAAGGGAATGTGAGGAGAGAATCATGCTATTCGGGTGCGGGTGACCACCTGAGGATCTGCCAGATCCCATTGCCACTTGGGTGGTGCCAGTCAATAACTCTCAACTGACCCAAGAGCTGCTTGGTGTATAGGTGGCAGTTCTAAGGTGAATGGCTTTCTTTGAGTGGGAAATATTAGCAGTGGTGTGCTGGTAAATAGTAGCAGATCTCCAAAGGGCAGGGGAAGCCCTGAATTGTAGTATTGCCAATTTCCACAGCATAAATACTCGCACCATGGGAGGAGATCCAGTAGTACACCCCAGTAGTACACCATTATGTAGCATTTCCATCATACAGATGCAATAAGTGGAAACAACCTCAAGGAACACAGGTAACAGTAAAATGCATCAGAAAAATTAAAAGTAATTGGTTTTGAGTAATTATTACCTTTGTTTTTAATATAATTTGTTTAACCATAGGTTTATATCATTTAATTTTTAATAATGAATGTGTTTGCAGTCAGCTAGCAACATTGTTAAAATTTTTATAATCAGCAGTGAAATTTAGAAAAGGCAATATTTCCTTTGTCATGGAGAATGTTGGAAAAGGTACAGGGGGATACAAAGCCAGGATGCAGCCAAATTGTGGAGAAACTTATTTGCAAAGCACAATGTTTGGAACTTTTCCTGTTAGCAGTAGTAATTTCCTGTCCATTTTTATTCTCCCAAAGATCTGTTAAATCTGCCTCCACCTCTCCATCCCTCACAGTCCATGCACTGTCTCAAGAGTGTCATTCATTCCAGACCACCACACCAGCCCCTGTCCTGGCCACCTGGCCTGCAGTCGCTCCCTCTACAGGCCATCTCTCACATGGGCCCCAATGGCATGTTCAGAATACACAGACCTGATCCTGTCCTTCCATGGTACACAACCCTCGCGTGGATCCCCATTAGCTTTGAAAGGAAACCCAAAGGACCTGGTAATAGAGTCCCTCCAAGGGGGCTCGGACTGGGAGCGAAAGACTAGGGGAGAGTGACGAAAGGAGTCCTGGCATTGGGGTTTCAAAGCGGGTCAGTGTGTGCTGCCCTGTCCCTGGACGCTCTTGAGCATCCCATCCCATGTAATCCCTGCTCCTCAGGGTGGACTGGCCTTCAGGATGGCCAAAGAGACAGAAGCCCTAGCTTGCTAAGAATACTTTCTGCTTACCCTACCCTCGCATCTTTCAATTACTCATCCTCTCATCCCTTCTGGACCACCAGGCTCTGAGGTCGGAGTTTGCTGCAGTAAAGGCCCCAGGTCTCTCCTGTCCTTTAAAGCTGCCACTGCTACTGATGGGGCAGCCACCGAAAGGTCTGGGTGAGTGGCAGAGAAGCGGCTCTGGGGTGTATAAGGAAGCTGGGGGCTCTGGGGGCACAAAGAAAGAGAACACAAGGATGCAGGGTACCAAATAATCAGTCCAGATCTGTGGGCCAGAATTCTGGCCAGGGTGGGGGTGTCCCGGGCAAAGAGCAGATTGGGCCAGGGAGTACAGTTGAAGATGAGGGTGATCTGAAGATACAAGAGCTCAAGGAGCTGTTTCAGATATCACTGGCACACACTGGGAACTCCACAGGTAGTCAGTTTTTCAGCATCTTGTCGGTGCCATTCCACGAGCACTCTCCCAGTTGGAAAAAATAATCTAGAGTACAGCAGCGGAGGGCAGGCTGTCCATCACCCATCACCATCCCCTGCAAATTTCTCCTCCCTTCAAGTGAAAAGACCAAGATCCAGGGTTCCTGTTTAGTGGGAAATTACCCTTTTCCTCCACTAACCTCAACTGACTCCAGTAAACAAGTACATGAGAATGCTAAGGGCCAACTCCTCACTAGTCCGTGATATTCACCAGATGCACAATATGTCCTACTCGTTCTGTGTAGAGCAAGGCAGCTTCCTATGTTGTTACCCAGAAAATGTCATAGCAGCCTTTGCTTCAGATGAATGCTCAAGAAAGTCCACTCGAGATCAAGAAGAAGAAACTCGAGAAAGGTGTTCTGTGCATTGAATGGGTAACCTCCACCACACACTGAGCTAGGAACACTGCAAACCTTAGGGCATTTGTTCCCACAGCAACGGTAGTATGACACAGGTTTAGTGATCATCCCTATTTTCCAGAGTAGGAAAGAGCAAAGAGAGAGGAAGTGATTTGCCCGACGGCATCCAGTCAGGAAGTGATGAAGGGAGAAATTGACCACAGATGGAGCTGGGAAGGGGCGGAACCCAAGGGGGGAGTGGAGGTTGGAGGAAGAGAAGTGAAGTAGGAGCTGAGACTGGGAAGTCTAGCCTTGAAAGGGGGGGGGGGAGATAAGGGATTATATGCCATGTAGACCCCTTCTTGTGAATCACGAATAAGAAGGCTGGGTCCCTGAGAGAGTGGAGAAGGGAAGTCAGGATGCCTTGCCTGTTCCTGACCCTCCCTCCCCACAGAACCTGCCAGGCTGGTCTCTTCGTCTTGCTCTTGGAAGAAGATTCTTCAGTGCACCTGCTCCTTCCATGGGGTTCCCACACCCTCTGTGCAGTGGTGGATAGAAAGTCATATTGTGGGTGTGGACAGCACGAATGACAGCCACCGGGTGAATTCCACCATCCTTGCCCCCTGGAACAACACCACCATCAGCCTGACGGAACTGCCAAAAATGGGCACAAGGCTTCTCTGTGAGGGGGAGAACGAGTATGGAAATTATTCTATGAGCATCGTACTCATGTCAAGTGAGGATGAGGAAGAAGGGGATGGGAATGGGCACGGGCCAGGGGAGGAAGCAGAGCTTTGGCTTCAATTTCAAAGTTGCAGGAGAGAAGCCTTTCTCATGTGTTCTCTACTTCCAGTAAAGAGTTATTTGATTACCCAGAATTTCATCAGCGGACTCTTCCAAGGCCTTATCTGTGGGGCCATTGTGACGACACTGCTCTTCCTCTGCCTCATCCCACTCATGTGAGTACTGGAGTTAAAACCCATCTGTAAACCTCTCCCACAACCTGCTACTCAGCAGAACAGAGCAGGCAAAGACAGGACCCCTACCTTCAAGGAGCTCAGAGTCTGGCAAGGGAAAAAAGCAATACACATGGTCACAATCCAGAGCCACCAGGAAACAGGCCCGAGGGGCAGAGGCTCTTAGCACATGTCATTAGGGAGAACACAACAGAGGAAGTGGCAGCCCTGGAGAAGACAGCAGAGCTCCCAGAACACCTTCTGTAGTGTACCTAGGCGGGGCAGGGGGCGGGAGAGATTGCTGAGCACTCATTCGTTTGGTGGAAAGAAGTGTATGCAGACCCCAGGGACATGTTTAAGGAATTCCAAGTGTCATTATGCAATGTCAGTTGTATGAAGAGTGACAGATAATGGCGAAAAGGGAAGGTGTAAACGGCTGTCTATGTTGGTTTGAAAGACTCTCAAAACTTGGCTAAACCTGTTTTCCAGAAGCCTAGACTGAGAAAGGCAGAGTTACCAGAGGTCAGCCAGAGTTTGGTGGAAGGAGGGGGAGGGTCTGGCCAGGCCAGATGTCTTGGGCTAATCCTGAGCTGAGAGTCACGGAAGCGTGCTAAACTGGGAAGGAAACCATGAGCTTGGGGTGGAGCATGGACCCAAGATGGAGAGCCAGGAGGCCTGGGGCCTAAGCCAGGCTGAATGGGAGCAATGATTAGGAGCAGTCAGAGACATGGGACTTGGGAGTGAGGGATGTCCCAGGAGAGAAAGAAGAGGAAGGTGGCAGGGCCAAATGGGGAGCCATTTTCAAAGCATAGTCAGCTAGACTTCAAGACCAGCAGCAATCCTTTACAATTTGCAAAGCCCTTTCATAGCTGCCCTCCTCTGAGCCCACAGCCTGATGAGCAGTGTGTCCTCACTGTACAGAGTATGAAGCCAATGCCCAGAGAGTGGTGTGGCTCTCCTAGATGACATGACAGGGTACTAGTGTCACTGAGGCTGTAAACTGGAACTTCTGACTAAGACCACAGCCCACTTGGGGGTGTTGGGGGGTGCAGAGCCAGAACTGATCTAGAGGGTCATTTTCTTAGAGTGAAATATGTCAGAAAGAAGCTGTCAAATAAAATTGAAGTGACCGAGACAGAAGGGAGCCTTTCAGATCCCAGCGTGGCTCTGAAGCCTGAGGAACCAGGAAGAGCCGTAGTCATGCCGTCTTCTGTGAGCTGGAATGTGGTGGGTACCCATCGTGTCTGGCATCTAATCTACTGTAACAGTGGTAACAAGACTCATGAGGAGAGGCACAGAGCGTGTTTAAAGGAATTATCATCCTCCATCCTATAGATGCCAGAATGTACCTTATAGATGATTAATCCAAGGCTCAGGAAGGGAGAGAAGGATGAAAATTAAGAGAAACATCTTGAAGGGTAGTTAGAATTGGCAGTGTACACACACAGAGTCCCCACTGAGAAGAGGGTTGGGAGAGCTTCTAACAACCATTGTAGCATTAGAGTGGGAATCAAAAGGTTCGGTCTCTGAGTGTTTGGCAGTCCAAGGTCAGCACAGGCTGTAGATGCCACAGGCCTAAGTCAGCCCAAAGTGCTGGAGGACCAGACTAGGCCTGGGTTACTTCTTTTACCCTGCACCCCATATCCTCAGTGGGGTTTGGAGGAAACAGTGCTTGGAGTTGCTGGGCCTCAGTGTTATTTATCATTGACGATTCTCCAGGACCAGAAGTGCCCTACTGCTCTCCTTGTACCCTGCTGGTGTCCATTGTAGGATCAACCATGTATCCGTTACATTCCACCAATATTTCCTTCAGTATTTCCTAATATCCACGTGGGCGATGTCGGGGGTCTCAGAGATGGATCAGACCCAGGCCTGCCAGAGAGCAACCAGGCTGGTGGGGAAGGCACGTTCTCAGTAACAAGGCTGAGCTGCGGTTCTGATTGCCCAGAGGAAGGAGGGACTGAACTTACCTGCAGAAGCAGGCAAAACTTTCCAAGGGAGTCTAGGGAAGAGTTGGACAGCTCCTGGGAATGCACGGGAGGGCAGCAGAAAAGGACACTGTGGCAGGCTCCAGCCAGGGGGTTGCAGAAAACGTGAAGCCAGTGCCTGCGCCATATTGCCTCAGGTGCCCAGAGGGAGGGGCAGGATTCTGCCATTTAAGATGTGGATACCTCACCTCTGAACCTGTTCCGACATCCTTCTTTCTTTGCTCTGCAGGACTTATTACCCTAAACTTCCAGGAACAAGCAAGATAAGTTGGAGCTGACAAAGCCTGGAGGAACTACATTCACACCTGGAGTGCCCGTTATCCTGGGAGCCTAGAACAGACCTGGAGCTCCTGAGTCTCCCCAGCTCACAAAGGCCTCTCAAGCCCCTGCACCCTGTCCTTCACACTGGTTCTCCGTTGAATAGGGTTCCTCTTGGGTCTGATCTTAGAACCTTTGAAAGCGAACTGTGAGCTGCTGTTTGGGTTAACCAGGAGAAATATGCCCCATCCTGGAATGGTGTTGAAGGAGCAGTAAAGGTGAGACTATGAAATAGGTCCACCAAGAAGTAGTTTTTGAGTCCCCACTGCGTGCCCAGGGCCTGGGATATATATGCAAGAGCACCATCCTATATGGATTGAATCCCAACTTCAATTCTTAGTAGTTATATGTCTTGGAGGAGACCATTTACCCCCACCTTGAACTTTGAACTTCAGTGTCCTCACCTGAGGTGTACCTGGGAAGAGTGAGTGAAAAGTGGTGTCCAGAGATACAGGTGGAGCAAAGGCACAAAGCTGGGGCATGAATGCCAAGATACAGTTATCCGGTGGGACCTTTTTCTGACTCCCTTAGAATGTAAGTTCCACGAGAACAGGGATCTTATCTTTTCTTCCTACCTGTATCACCAGCACCTAGAACAGTGCCTAAAATATAATAAACTCTCAGAATAGCTTTTTGAATAACTGAATGAATGAATGAATTGTAAGCTGCTGGAAGGTTTGAAGCAAAGAAGTGGGGTGACCAGATAAAGCCGGAAGCAAAGAACCTAGTTAGGAGGTTATTACAATAGTCCTTGGCCAGGCTGAGAGGTAGGCATACAAAGAACAAGAACGAGATTCCAGCATTAGAACGGACCGTGGCTGTGTGCTGTCCCCCACAGGATGGAGGACAAACTTTCTTCTGGCACCAAAGGCCCATCATTTTCGGCTGTTTGAAAAAGGGTCATCTCTTCCCTGGGGTGTTACTTGTGAGTAAATCCAGTGGTTCTTCATTCAGCACCAGTGGGTTGGTCAACTTGTTCTCGAGGTAGATATTTATAATGAGCCCTCACGTGTGGGCACCTCTCGCATGCAGTTCATACATTGCACAGAAGCCTGAGCATTCGCCTTGTGCCAGATGAGGCAGGCAGACCGAACACTGGCTTGGCCTCCATGGCCCTCGTGGTACACACAGGTACACAGACAATGAAGAAAGAAAGGAACACAAAGTGATGACTTGAAAAGTGTCAAGAGCCCTGGCCGGTTTGGCTCAGCGGTTAGAGCGTCGGCCTGTGGTCCGGAGAGACCAGGGTTCAGTTCCCGCTAAGGGCACGTACCTCAGTGGCAGTTTGTTCCCGGCCCTGGTTGGGTCGTATGGGTGGCAGCCACTGGATGTGTCCCTTTCGCGTGGATGTTTCTCTCTCTCTCTCTCCCTCCCACTCTATCTGAACAAAAAATGGAAAAAATATCCTTGGGTGAGGATTAAAAAAAAAAAAAAGGAAAAAGAAAAGTGCCAAGAAAAAAGAGGACAGGATACTGTGAGCACATGGGAAGGAACAGAGGAGGAACCGAGGTTGGATTAGAACGTCAGAGAAAGTGACATTTCTGTTGAAACAAAGAATTATTAGGAGCTAGTCAGAGGAAAGCGCAGATTCTAGACCCTGAGGTGGGAGAAGTTTGATGAGTTCAAGAGCCCCGGGATACAGGGTGGGGTTTCTATGTCGCTGGAACTCAGACCGAGGGGTGAGCTGCAGAGGAGACATGTTTCAGGGCCTCGAGGTGAGAAGTTGACGTTTTATCCTCACTCGTGGAAGCTTACTTTCTGGGTAATCCTGAGAAGTGGGCTCCTATTCATCAGGACTTTATCTGTGAGAATATTGTGTAATAGAGATTTTAAGTTGCGGGTAGGATCCTTTGTAATAGGTCTGGTGTTTGCTTCTATCAAAGAAACAAATCCTCTCTCAGGGAGAAGTGGACAAGGATGGGGAGAGGGAGGGTGGCAGGTTTGAGGAAGGTGCGGAGAATGAGAAAAAGGATGGAGACAGGGTTGGGAAGAGGTCAGGCCTGGGTTGTCATGAAAATGGAGAGCTGGGCCTCCTGTGTCTTGTTGTCTTCGGGACAGGGGCCTTGGTTGCAGGACAGTAAACAAGGGGGTACCAAGGTGCCTTCTGATTGGCTCTGGAGGGTCGTGCACTTGGCATTTTGTTCCTTGATCAACAGTCTCCAATCTGCCCATCGGCAGCTTCCCCACAAGTACTGGGTCGAGGAAGAGTGTCCCTTAACAACTGCTTGGCCCGGAGTCCTGAGCTCTAGGCGGAGCCTAGAAAGAGGATTCTCCCGGGGGCTGGGGAGGGGGATGCCCGGCCAGAGTCCAGGGTTCCCGGTAGTCACCGTTGTTCCAAACTGGCTCAGGCCCTGGAGACCCACGAGGCCCCTCCCCAGCCAGTGGCACCTGCACACATCCTGAGGCCCTGATTGGCTCCAGAGGGACTCGCGCATGCTCATTGGCGCGCATGAAGGTAGGGGCTAGGGGGTTGCGGTGCTGCTGCTTGGGGAGCGGATATCAACACATGACCGCTGGCTGGTGGGACGTTGGTGAAGCTCGGGGACTCCAAAGCCACCTAACGAGCTGGTTATAAGGCAACTAGTCAGTTAGCCTTCCTCCACCTCAGTCACTTCCCTGTGAGTCACTGGTGGTTATGCACAGTTATTGCACGTGTCAGTCAGTTCATCGGGCTCACGGTGAGGCGTTAAATCGGTCCAACAGTTGGCTCCTCTGGAAAGTCAGTTCTCCAATCCGTGCTCTATAGCACGTAGTAAGACAGCTGGTCAGTCACTTGTCACTCAGCAAAAATTCAGGAGGACGTTCAGTTCTCAAGGAAGTAGGCAGGTGGAGATGTGTTGAAGAAGGTCCAAGCTGGAACTCTTGGACCCAAACTCGAGACAAGGAGCTAACTTGGAAAAGGAAATTTTGAAAAGGAAAGAGGTTGCCTATGGGGACAACCTATAGAGGGCCAAGGCCAGGAGAAGGGAAGAGATAAGAATTTGAAAGTCTGAAGGTCTGTTACATACTGGGCAATAAAACCCTCTTGTGCCATAGATGAGGAAAATGCAGAGAAACCGGAGAGCGGAGGGCGTTCATGGCCACCTCATGGCTGCTAAGTGGCTGCCCCATCTCCAGTGTTGCATCCATATTCCAGGGAAGAAGAAGCAAGTGACAAGGAGAAAGTAGTGGCTGTCAGTATCAGAAAAGCAGAATTCCCCAAAGTCTCCAGCAGATAGCCCCATATGTTTGGTATTTTGTATAGACAAATCTCAAAATATTTGCTTAATAATACGTCTAGCAGAGTCCATGGTTTTTATTTTTGCCTTGTACATGTGGGAAAAGAGAAGAGTACAGTTTCACAGACAGGTATAGAATTTAGAAAAACAAAGCCATCAATAACAATGTTTTGTTACCAGAGCAAGAAATAATCAAGTAAGACAACTGGTCAGAATTCCATTTTATTTGAATATTTTTCATAAGACATGGAATGATTTGTAACATCTTTAGAGTCTCATAAGACCACTTTGTTTAAATTGTTCTTTCAAAGGAAGATTTGTATTAACAGAGAATGGAGTAAGTCAATAATAGTCATGAATATTCATTTAAAAACTGTATGTTGCAGAGGAGAACATAAATTATATTCTCATAAACATTCTCAGTTTTGCACACTATCAAGTCCGATTCCTTGAGCCCTTTTAAAACACAGAGTGATGTGTTTTGATTTAGAGCCACAGGGAGAGGGAACATCTCCTTCAACTCTTTCTGAGTTGTTTCCTTTATTATGAAAACTCATTTGTTTTTAATCCTCACCTGAGAACATGTTTATTGATTTTAGAAAGGGAGGGAGGTGAGAGAGAGAGAGAGAGAAGAAGGAGACATTGATGTGAGAGAAAAACATCCATTGTTTGCTGCCCTTCTCCAGAGACTGAACCCAAAACCTGTGTATGTGCCCTGACCAGGAATCAAACCTGTGACCTTGATTTTTTCTAAAAGTAGGCTCTGGAATTTTATTAGCTAGTATTATATATATATATTTTTAATCCTACAACAGATTTTCAGATTTCAATTGTGATGGCGGAAAAAAAAAATGGTATAAAAGCTGAATAGGCTTTTATTTGCTGATAATAATTTAATAGCATTTTTCCTGTACTTGACTCAATGGCCCCATGCTCACCCCTAAATATAAAAAGGCAGGGAAATACTGGTTTTGTTTTTAAGAACTGGGGACTTGACCACCTGGACAAATTTGAAATAATGAGACACAGGAGGGTTGATATCATGTAGGCAACTCTCGGGGGTGACCTGAGACATTGCCATAAAAGAGATAGACAGAGCCTGACCAGTGTGGCTCAGTGGTTGAGCATCGACCCAGGCACCAAGAGGTCACCAGTTCGATTCCCGGTCAGGACACATGCCCAGGTTGTGGGCCCGATCCCCACTGGGGGGCATGCAGGAGGCGGCCCATCGATGTTCTCTCTCATCAGTACTTCTTTCTCTCTCCCTCCCTCTCCCTTCCTCTCTCTCTCTCTAAAATCAATAAAGAAAAATAAATAAATAAATAAATAAATAAAAGAGATGGACAGACAGGGGTGCTGAAGAGAGTCTGAGAAAGGTGGCTTTCTGGTTGCGGATATTTTTGAAAGCTACCACGAGGAAATTACATTTGGCCTGGACTTGGAGAGAGTTGCAGAAGGGTGCCATGCAAAGGGGAGAGGCCCGAAGAAGCATACAGAGGTAGGAATGTATGGAGTATGTTTGGAACAGACACCTTTTTCCCCTTCGCTTGCAAAGAATAGCAGAGGCGTAGGGAAGGGGAGTCAAGACTGTGGAAAGCCTCGAATGCAAGGCAGAGGAGTTTGGAATTTCTCCTGTCAGCCATACAAATGCCTTTTCCGTGTGCAGATATCTTAAATATATCCTATCTTCTCCATCTCCGGTAGCCACTGCGCCAGCTAAGGCCACGTCATCTGTGTCCTGAACTCTCGCTTCCTCCTGGGTGCACACCCAGAGGAACCTTTACAAGGCCCAAACCTGCTCCCCAGGGTTCCATACCTTTGCGTGACTCCCATGACTTCCCCACTGATGTGGGAGAGAGAGCAAGCTCCTCAGCCTGGCATTTGAGGCCCTTTATGTATGTTATTGTATGTATCTTATTATTTTATTTATTTTTATTTTATTTATGTTTGTTGTCGCTAATCTTCACCCGAGAATATTTTTGCATTGCTTTTTAGTGAGCGTGGAAAGGAGGGAGGGAGGGAGAAGGAGAGAGGTGTGACAGAGACACATTCATTGGTTGCCTCCCACGGGCACCCTGACCAGGGCCAGGGATCTAATTTGCAACCTAGTTACGTGCCCTGGGCCTGGAATCAAACCCTCGACCCTTTGGTGTGTGAGCCAGGCTCTAACCACTGAGCAAACCAACCAGGGCTTGAGGCCCTGTAAAGGGGGAAGGAGCCCAGTGAAGGTGATAGGAGAGAAAAGAAAGCAGATGCAGTGTGGGGCTCCACGGAGAATCATGGGGCCTCTCCCCTGTTCTTGAAGCTCCTAATTCACAAGATGAACAGACCTTAAGACAATAGCCTCTCGTAAGCAGTGAATCTGTTTCTGCCCTCACCCCATGTCTCTTACTGCTGCACCTGTTTTCATCCATTCCCAATCCTCCCTCTAGGCCTTATGGATCTGAGGTCAGAGTTAGCAGCAGCATAGGTCCTGGTCCTCTGTGGTTCCTGAGATCCGTCTGGTGCTGATGGCACTCCCGGTGTTATGGTTGGGTAAGTGGGAGGAGAGGCAGGGTGGGAGGTGTCTTAGGAAGCCAAGAATGAGTTGGGGTGAGGGTGAGTGGTGATGGAAGATGAGCAAGGCTGAAGGAAGATAAAGTGGTGAAGGCCTAAAGAATTAAGTACTTGATAAATAAGTAATAAGGGATTCCATGTGCACATTCTGGGATTGGCATTATGACCCGCTACAGGTCCCATTTCATCTACCCAACCGTCCCTTGAGGAATTACTATCCTCATTTAACGGGTGAGGAAACCAGCTTTGGGAGATTAAACAACTTGCCCAAAGTCTCCAGAAATTTTGCTAGTGGAGCCCAACAATTCTGACTCCTAGTTCTATTTTCTAAATAATTTTTTTTATTGATTTTAGAAAGTGGGAGGGAGGGAGAGATGTGAGAGAGAAACATCAATTGGCTGCCTCCTACATGCACCCCAACTGGGGATCAAACCCACAACCTGGGTATGTGCCCTGACTGGGAATCAAACCCATCACCCTTTGGTGTATGAGCCGATGCTCCAATCAACTGAGCCACACTGGCCAGGGCTCCTAGTTCCATTTTAATGCCACACCCCCTGCCAGTCAAGAACCTAGATGATAAATGTACCCACATCTGCTCTCTCAACATCATCCTGTATGGTGGGTATTATTAAGTCACATCTTAGAGACACAGCATGGTGGCCCAGAACCAAGTGTGTCAAAATCCACGGTGTGGCTCAGTGGTTGAGCATCGACCCATGCACCAAGACGTCACCGGTTCGGTTCCTGGTCAGGGCGTGTGCCCAGGTTGTGGGCCCAATCCCCAGTAGGGGACATGCAGGAGGCAGCCAGTAGATGTTCTCTCTCATCAGTGTTTCTATCTCTTTCTCCCTCTCCCTTTCTCTCTCTCTCAAATCAATAAAGGAAATAAAAAAATAAAAAAAAGATCCGTGTGTATGTCTTGGAGTACCAGGCTTCACATGTGAAAAGTTGGAGTCCAGGCCTGATGCTGTTACTCCTTTCTCTATAACATGGGGCAGGGCCCTTAATCTCTCTGAACCTCAGTTTCCTCATACATTTAAGGGAGTAATAATAAAGCCATTATGAGAATGGCTTAAGCTGATTTCTGTGAAGGCACTTGGGAATCTCTACACACTTACTGGCAATGTTACTACCATCATTTTAAGACATCATTACTAGCAGTGGCCTCAGTAACCATGAAGTTTATGAGTACACCCATTTTGTATGTGAGAGAGTTGTCACCTAGAAAAAGGATAAGGAAAGGGACAGAATAACAGCTGTTACAACCTGCAATTATTACTACTGAGTGCCCTGCATCTCTGTCGTCCCTATCTTTCAGTCTCACAATATTGCAGCATTGGTACTATTGTACCCATTTTTCTGACTGAGAAACTGAGGTTCAGAAATGATGTAACATGGCCAAGGTCACAAGATACAGTTACTACCAATAACGAGAACAACAACAAAAAAAACCCCAGCAGACTATATTATGTTGGTGCAGTTTGGGAGTCCCCAAGACCGCCATCAGGTTCCATGACTCACGAGAAGGACTCACAGAACTCAACAAAACTGTTATACTCATGGTTACAGTTTATTATAGCAAAAGAATAGAGATGAAAGTCAGCAGAGGGAAGAGGCACATAATGCAGGGTCCAGGAGAGACCAGGCACGAGCTCCCAGTTACCTCTCCCGGTAGAGTTGTGTGGACCGTGCTCAGCAACAATGTGTGGCAACAGGCATGGTATTGCCAAGCACGGAAACTCACTGAGTCTTGGTGTCCAGGGTTTTCTGAGGGGGGGGCTCCTGTCCTACAGGCACAGCTGACCACACCCATGGCTGCCCTTAGTTTCCAGCCCCTCCAGGGGTCAAGATGATATTATGTGCTCCAAGGCCCCCGCCATCAATCACATTGTTAACATAGACTGTCTGGTTGTGGCCCAAGGCCTCAGGTAAACCAAGACATACTCATCAGGCAAATATTCCAAGGGCTTAGAGGTCACTTCCCAGGACCTGGGCAATGGCCAAACCTTCCTAGGGTAAGGTTGATTAACCTTTAATGCACTGTTGGAATACCAAGAGACACTAGATGGAGTCTGTTTTTAACTTGAATCTCTCCCCACAGGGTTACTTTCTTATGCTTTGATGGAAGTCACCGAGATACCAGTGGAAGAGGACCTGTGCACTACAGTCCCTTGCAGATTAGAATTTCCCAAAGAACCCCTGAAAAATTCCATGATTACAGGCTACTGGCTCAATAAAAATATCAGCTCCCCTGTAGCTACAAATAAACCCAATGTTACCATAGAGGGTAACACTAATGGAAGATTCCACGTTATTTGGAATCTTGAAGAACAAGACTGTACCCTGCTGGAAGGCAATGTACGCAAGAGGGACGACGAGACACACGTATCCTCTGCAGATCTAGAACAACGAAAGAGGGCTTTACTGAGGGAGAATATCACACTCTTCCTGTCAGGTGACCGTCAGACTCATGTAACGGGTGGTTTGGAAAGAGGGAACTCAGAAGGGGTTCTGGTAATGGTATGGTTCTTACCTCACTGGCCCTGGGCTTTACAAAAACTTAGTGATTTAATTTTTACAACAATCATACCAAGAGACAGGTACAGTTGGTAACTTTATTTTTTTTCTGAATAGAAGTGGCAAAGAGAGAGGAAATGACTTACCCAAGCCGCATCCAGCCAATAAGAGATGGAGGTGTAAATAACCACCAATCCATTGGGAAGGGGCAGATCCTACAGGGAGAATTGGGTTGTGAGGGGAGGGAGGCAGAGCAGGAGCTGGCCCTAGGAACTCTAGCCTGGGGGGACAGACAAGGGATCATAGGCAATCTAGATTCTTAAGAAATTTACTCACCCTCAGTCTTGCGAGTCCAGGGGTTCAAGCTCAAGTTCAGGCTCAAGACCTTAAGCAAGTCTGTTCAGTTTGCTCACCTAGACAATGGGGTATGCTCCTTCTATGCAAGAAGGGAAATATACTTGTGAAAAGCCACCCAAAAATAACTACCCCAGGTTCCATGAGGTTCGGAGAATGGGGGAGGGGCACCAGATGACCCAGTGGGCAGGCAAGCACTTGGTGACCTGGAAACATTACGCACCAGTGAAGTGTCCACGAGGGTCCCTTGTCCCCAAGGTCTGGGTACAATACATCTCTCTCCTTCACATCTGACTCAGAAACCAGAGTTCTACATTTCAGATATTCCTATGGCCGGGGAGCCTGTGACCTTGACTTGTACCATCAGAGGCTCCTGCATAGAAACCAAAGCCCGCTTGCTCTCCTGGAAAGAACCCACCATGTCCTTCAACACAAATGGCTCCAGAAACTCCTCCATCTCTTCCTCGGTGCTGCACTTCACCCCAAAGCCCAAGGACCATGGCACCACCCTGCAATGTTATTTGAACTTCTCCCAATCTGGCTTGACCACTTTCACGGTCCAGATGATCAGTGAGTGCTGGTGGGCAAGGGAAGATGCAGAGTCTGGGAGAAATGATATGCCTATGAGAAATACCTGAGTCTTTGTAGGAAGGGAAGGAAAGAAGTCTGGGGAGCAGTCATGTCTTCCCCTGGCTCCCGGGGCTGAAAGGTCAAAGGTAAGAGCGAGCCGAAGTCTACTGAGACAGATGAGGAGAGTGGATGAAAGAGAGCTGCCCTGAATTCCAGCCCCTCCGAACTTCCGGAAAGTCTTGTTGAAGCTCCTTTTGAATCATAAATGAGGAAGGTCCTGTAGGAAGTAGAAAAGGGAAATCAGAATGCCTTGCTGACTCCTGGCCTTCCCTCCCCACAGTACCTGCCATACTGTTCCATTATGTTTGTTCCTTGGGGAAGATTCTGCAGTGCAACTGTTCTGTCTTTGGTATCCCCACACCCACGGTGCAGTGGTTTATAGGAGGAGTTCCTGTGGAAGTGAAAAACATGAGCAACATCATCCAGGTGACCACCACTATAATTCCCCCCTGGGTCAACAGCACCATCAACCTCACTGGGAAGCCAGAAATACTCATGAGCCTCCACTGTGTGGGGGAGAACAAATACGGAATCCATGCTTCAAGCATCTTCCTGATACCACGTAAGTATTCAAGGGTCTAGTGACAGCTAGAATGATAACACCTAGGGATGAGGATGGGCACAGCGACAAAGAAAAGAATAGTATCTCAGACTTCACAGCCTTAGCCAAACAACAACAACAACAACACTCTTGCTTACCTCTGATTCCAGATGAGACTCCAGTTTCCCAAATATTTGTGAGAGGACTGATACAGGGCCTTGTGTATGGACTCATTATACCAGCACTATTCTACTTTTTGGTTGTTATTCTTGTGTGAGTATCAAGTTACAATTTATCAGCATCCCTTTCCCAAAGCCTACTACGTTTGTTTTTGTTCTTTATGTCCTTCCTTATAATTCCTCCATTTTATTCTACTGCGTCTATCCTGTTGATATGGACTTGTATCATTAATTTGCAGTCATTCTTCTTTTCTAATATGTGCATTTAAGGCTATAAATTTCCCTCTGAGCATAACTTTAGCTGCATCTCACAAATTTTAATATAAAATATTTTATTATCACTTAGTTAAAGTACTTTAATTTCCATTATGATTCTTTGACCCAAGGGTATTTTTAGACACATCAATATAACCCTTATTTCTTTATTTCTAGTGTAAATCTAGTAATTCAAAGACTATATACAATGCATGATTTCAATGTTTTGTTTTCTTCATGGTATAATTTCTGTTTAGTTTTTATAAATATTCCATATGGGCTTGAAAATAATGTGTATTCTACACTTGTTAAATTCAGTGTTCTACATATATATAGGGTGTCCTCAAAAATGTATACATACTTAACTGCTGATAGCTCAATTGATGTTTTTTTCTTCTCAGATTTAACCCATTGGAATTTATAATTATTCAAAGCGTGTATACATTTTGGGGACATCGTGTGTGTGTGTGTGTGTGTGTGTGTGTGTGTGTGTGTGTGTGTTTTAAAGCAAGTTCATTAATCATGTTTAAATCTTCTCGAGTTGTACTGTGGCTTCCGCTTGGTGAGCCTCTCTACACTTGGGTCTCCCCATTTCTGTTCCTTTCTCTTACCCGGCAGATGTTCAGTACTCAGCTCACCGCTGTTCCATCCTGCACCCTAGCAAACCTTCCCAGGCACCTGGGGTGGGTGCCTTTTGAGGGCTCCCATAGTCATCCGAGCTTTGGGCTCTTCACTCTAATTCTTTCACTCTGATGTGACTAAATGTGGGTATCTTTTTGTTTTTGTGTGTTTGCCGGGATCTTTGTTGTTGTTATTGTTGTGGCCTTTTTAATCTGTGTTTTTAGTGTCTTTTTTCAATTCTGAAAAATTCTCAACCTTTGTTTCTTCATGTAGTGCTTCTATCCTCCCCTTTCACTCTGGGGTTCTCATCAGATACTTGTCAAACTTTCTTTCAGTCTTTTTTTTTTTTTTTTTACACTTTATCCTGTAGTCTTGTATTTTCCAGGGATATAGGCAAGTAAACCAGTACTAAGTTAAAGGTCGGGACAAGGAAGATACTAAGAGAACCCCACCCCTGTAATATTTCCATCCTTTGTTGGGGACAGAGCATCAGTACTTCCCAGAAATGCTTCAACTTACCCCTAGTCAGCCCTCTCCAGCATAGTACTCTGTCAGTATTATAAATGGTTTTTTCCCCCCCACAGCTCTCTTATCTCCTCCTCCTCTTACTCTCAGCAATAAGGTTTACCTACTTAACAGACAGAACAAAAGCAACTCCCAACACCGACAAAGTTATTGCCATTGGTGCCAATGATTCACTCCTTGCCTTTTTCAGATAAAGAGGCATTCCTCTTCCTGTCTGAGGTCAGCCCCACCCCCTTTGCTTGGGAATCCATCTCTTCCACACTCCATTAATCATCCTTCCTCTCTCCTAAATGTTCAGTCATTCCGTCTTCACTGGCCCTTTCTCTGAAGGATATAAACATGCCCAAATCTCTCCCACCCAAGGCCCACAAACTCCCTCTCTGTGCCATCGAATATTTTATTTTGAGGAAAGAGCTGGCACCCTCTTCCAGATCCTCTTCACCCTGACTGACCTTGGTGCTTCCCCACGTGACCCTGCATGGCATGGCTGTCCCCTCTTCCGGGAACTTTGACTAACAAACTGTCTTTCCAATGGCAGTTGTCTCCTGTCTGTTGGCTTCACCACAGCCGAATACAAATACAATCCCAGGTACATTTTCAAACAACTCTGGAAGAGCCAGACTGGGCAATGCAGGGGGACCACTGGGCAGGCCTACAGTTGCCAGGGCAACAGAGGAAGGGGACTGGTTATGTAATCAATGGCACACCCACACGACAGCATGCTGCACAGCTGTATAGATAGAGAAAGCTCTCCTGGCACGGATAGGCACGACAACACCAGAAATATTAAGAGAGAGGAGGAAGGGGCCAAAAAAGATTTGTCCAGGGCAAACCAAAACCAAAACCTATATTCATATGAAGACATTAGAAGGCTGGGAGAGAAGCAGAGGAAAGGCACGTCGTGAAGGGCTGACAGGTGGGGGGCTGACTGTCCTGGGGGCACTGTGGAGCCAAGGGAAGGCTGGAAAAGAGAGGGGCAGGGGCAGCTCTGGGGCAGAAGGCTGGGAAAGAGGGTTCAGGCCAAAAGGTAGGTGTTTGTAACCCCATTTGACGAAGGGAGGGGGAGGGCTGGTCACAGAACCCGCCAACGGAGGAAAACTCGGTGTTCTGAACTCCAGCCCAGGGCTCTGTCTGGTAATGGGGAGAGGGAGTAGGAGACTGATCACAGCATTAACCACAAGGTTCGTTGTCTTAGAGTGAAGATTTTTATATGGTGGGCAAAGAGGCAACTCCCCCAGAAAGAAGAGGCCCCGATCCTTAACAAATCAGAGCTGCTGGAGGAGCCGGCCACATCCAAGGAGTCGGCCACATCCAAGGAGTCGGCCACATCCAAGGAGCCGGCCACATCCAAGGAGTCGGCCACGTCCAAGGATCCGACCACATCCAAGTCGTCGGCCACATCCAAGGAGCCGACCACATCCAAGGAGTCAGCCACGTCCAAGGAGCCGACCACATCCAAGTCTTCGGCCTCGTCCAAGGAGCCGGCCACATCCAAGTCGTCGGCCATGTCCAAGGAGCCGGCCACATCCAAGGAGCCGGCCACATCCAAGTCGTCGGCCACGTCCAAGGAGCCGGCCACATCCAAGTCGTCGGCCATGTCCAAGGAGCAGGCCACATCCAAGGAGCCGGCCACATCCAAGTCGTCGGCCACGTCCAAGGAGCCGGCCACATCCAAGTCGTCGGCCATGTCCAAGGAGCCGGCCACATCCAAGGAGCCGGCCACATCCAAGTCGTCGGCCACGTCCAAGGAGCCGGCCACATCCAAGTCGTCGGCCATGTCCAAGGAGCCGGCCACATCCAAGGAGCTGGCCACATCCAAGTCATCGGCCACGTCCAAGGAGACTGAAGCAGAAAGCAAACCAGGCTTGGAGGTTAAGTCCCTGGGACTGTGGGAGTCCGAGCTGTCCACCAGCCAGTCGGCTGTACTGCTGAGGCCACCAGGGGGCACTGATTAGAAACAAAGACTCCCAGCATCCCCACCCCCACCCCCACTCCCACCCTCACCTTAAAGGCTGCAACCCAGAGGATATATATATCCTTTTGGGGCAAGCTCTCCAGCTCATTCCAGTGCATGGCCACCAGCACAGAGGACCAGGGCTGGGCCTTCACAGCCTCTGCCTGACTTCAAGCCGAGCTCGCCTTCCAGCAGCCAAGCCCCAGTCCCAGCCCCTGTCCCACAGAGGCGGCCCCTCGGTCCAGGCAGCCACTGCCCCGTAGGGAGAGGATAGTAAATCCTAGGAAGGGAACTTTATTAGTCTGCTCAGGCTGCTGTCACAAAGGTCCACAGACTGGGTGGCTTAAACCACAGACAGGTGTTTTTCATGACTCTGGAAGCTGGAAGTCTGAGATCAAGCTGTCAGCAGGGTCGGTTCCTGCTGAGGCCTTTCCACTTGGCTTGTTCTCTCTCTCCAGGTCCTCGCACAGCCCTCTTCGTATAAGGAAATCAGTCCTATTGGATTAGGACTCGCCCTAATGACCTCATTTTACCTGAATTATCTCTTCAACGGCCCTTTCTCTGAATACAGTCACATTCTGAGGTCCTAGGGTTCAGGCTTGATCATGTGAACTTGGGGGTGGGGGGGGACACAATTCAGCCCATAACAGAGGCTTCCAGGAGCTAGTCGGATCTCTCCATTTGTGGGAGAGCCGGAGAGGGGAGGGGACTTGCCCAGGGCAGAGGACCACCAAGATCTGGTTCTCCCGCGGCTGAAGTCTAGAGAGAGAAGACTCCGGGGTGGATGGTGACTAACACGTAGATCACACACGTGTAGATCCATAGCCTAGTCAGACCAGCACAGCCTTGCAGAGCAGGAGGGGGGACTCCATCTCAGGCCACCATGTGCCCCTTTTGTCAGCCGCATCGGAAACCTGCCTGCTCCCTGCCCCGGAGGAGCAGGTGGGAGACAGAAGGACCCTGGAGCACCAGGACATGGACTGTTGCTGGTGCAGAGGCCCATACGGGCCACTGTGAACCCAGAGTGGCAGTGACCCCCCTACAGCCTCAGGGGTGCCACCATCAAATCCAGCCTCAGCATTCTTCACAGAGAGAAACCGAGTCCTGTAGGAAGTAAGAGGCTGCAACATTCAAAATACAGAGGTCTCTCTATTGGGGGTTTCGAGACCCCATCCTCCACACTCTGCTTTGCAAACAGGAAAACTGAGGCTCACAATGCCTCCGGCCACACAGCGAGACTGTGCCCTGCTCAGGACTCCTGAATTCGAGGTCCTGGTCCCTGTACTTGGTCATCTTCTCCTGACCTTGTAAAACTCTAGTGCAGAGGCTGCAAACTCAAAACTGCACAAGGGTAGGCAGGTAACAGGATGAGTTCAGTAGGCCTGGTGAGTCCACCTGTAGAGCAAGTGCCCCACCTGAAGGGGGGCACCCAGCAACACTGAACTCTGCTCCCACTCCTTCCCCACCTTCCCCCACACCCACCTCCTAGCACAAATAGGGTCCCTATTGCCAGATCTTCTGACTTTTTTTGTTTTAAGGAGAATCCAGAGATTCAGATTCAGTGCGAGATTTCTGAATTCCAACATGTTAGTAATTAAAACTATGTTTTTAAAAAGCAGTATGAATCCCAGAAAAGCCTCTCGTTTGCAAATCTGATTAGAAGCACAGATATGGAAGGGAAGCCCTTTTTCTAAACCCACGTCCTGCCAAAAGGAGGTGTCTTTATTCAGAATGCAAACCCGTTGCCAAGTGCAAATGGAATCCCCAGACACTGGGCAGAGGGTTGGGCATGGAAGGATGAGGAAGTTTCCTGGGTGGAGAAGGATGTTCCAGGTGACTCACCAGCCCCCAAAATACCCTGCCCTAGCAAAGCTTACATTCTGAAAGTGGGAAGTAGAGAGGGGAATGATTGAAAATAAACAAGTGAACACATGAAACAAGGGAATGGTAAATGCAACGGAGGGAAAAAAAAAAAAAACAGGTATGACAAAGAGATACTGTCTTGGGAGCGGGGGTTACTGTGCACAGCTTGATCAACACAGCCTTCTTAAAGTGGAGACCTAAATGATAAAATATAGAGTCTAGTGCCAATCTGGTAGGAAGAGCATTGCAGAAGGGAGAAAAGCAAGTGCAAAGGCCCTGAGGCTGGAATAAGTTTGGCTTGTTGGAGAGGCAGAAAGAAGGGCAGAACAGCTGGAACTGAGTGTCTGAGGCCGGGCATTGGTGTCAGGACAATGTTCATGTAAGGTGGTGATAAAGGTGATGGGGGTTGGGAGGCCAGGGCCGAAGCCATACAGGGGAAGATGGTGGCAGCTCAGAGTGAGGTAGGGGAGAGGTAGAGGATAGAGTTGAGATCTGTTTAGGAGGCAGAGCCAGCTTCTCCTGCAGACAGATCAGATATGGGTGGGGGATTAAGAATGGATATGCTTTTGTGGTAAAACAGCCCCTATGTGGCTTCTTTAAAAGTTACTGCCTCCAGCTGTCCCAGACATGGAGCAGGCTTGGCAACTGTTCTCAGAGGTTTATATGAGGGACAGGGGACAGGGACACTGCACCTGCTGGGCCAGGAGGGAGGCTATGCCTAGTAAATGGATGCATAGTGGGGCCAGGAGGAAAGAAGTGACTACAGGTGGCTGGGGTGCTGGGCAGAGTTAACACCTCCCCAGGATTTTTCTTACTCTCCTTAGTAACTTTGAGAAATGGAGGTGGTTCCATCTTGCAAGGAGGACGCTGAGGTTCTGGGAAGAGAAGTGATTTGTCCAAGGTCACACAACCAAGCCTGTGAAAGAATGAGGAAACGGCATGCTTTTGCACCTAATCTTTGGACTACCATCTCCTCCCCACTCCTAGCCCCCAAATCAGGTCCCCGAGCCCCTCCCCATTCCCAGGATATCCTGGGGATGCGGGTTGGGATGGAAGGGAGAAGCACTCTCCAAAGTCCCTGTTATTCATGAAAGTAGAGAAGCTGAAGTATGTCCCGCAGGAAGAAGGGGCTGGGGGCCTGGACTCCTGGGTCTGAGGGAGGAGGGCTGGGGGCCTGGACTTCTGGGTCTGAGGGAGGAGGGGCTGGGGGCCTAGACTCCTGGTCTGAGGGAGGAGGGGCTGGGGACCTGGACTCCTGGGTCCGATGGAGGAGGGGCTGGGGGTCTGGACTCTTAGTCTGAGGGAGGAGGGGCTGGGGGCCTGAACTCCTGGGTCTGAGGGAGGAGGGGCTGGGGGTCTGGACTCCTGGGTCTGAGGGAGGAGGGGCTGGGGGTCTGGACTCTTAGTCTGGGGGAGGAGGGGCTGGGGGCCTGAACTCCTGGGTCCGAGGGAGGAGGGGCTGGGGGTCTGGACTCCTGGGTCTGAGGGAGGAGGGGCTGGGGGTCTGGACTCCTGGTCTGAGGGAGGAGGAGCTGGGGACCTGGACTCCTGGGTCCGATGGAGGAGGGGCTGGGGGCCTGGAGTCTTGGGTCTCAGGGAGGAGGGGCTGGGGGCCTGGACTCCTGGGTCTCAGGGAGGATGACATTGGGACCTGAAGCAGAAGGGTGGCGGGCTTCAGGAGAAGTGTCTCAGAGCCGGGATTCTGGGGATCGAGGGGGGAGAACCTGGGGACGCCCGGGGCGGGAGGGGGTGGGGGCCGGGCCGCAGTAACAAAGGCCTCTCCCTCCCACAAGCAACCCCCCTCGGCCCCGCCTCCCCGGCCCCCCGCCTGTCCTGATTGGTCGGCCTTTCTGCCCGTCAGCGCCGCCCCCCTCCCCGGGTCTGCAGCAGCTCCGGCCGCCTCGTCGCGCCCCCCCAGCCCCTTCCCCCCGCCCCCGCCGCCCCCCCGGGCCGGTGCAGCCGCTGGCGGGGTCCCCCTCCCCCTCCCCCTCTCCCCCAGGCCTCGCGCGCCCCGGGACGGCCCCCCCTTTCCCCTCCCCCTTCGCGCCGCCGCTGCCGCGATGCCCCCCCCTGCGCCCGGGGCCCGGCTCCGGCTCCTCGCCGCCGCCGCCCTGGCCGGCCTGGCCGTCATCAGCCGAGGTACCGCAGCGCCGGGGGCGGGGGGCTCGGTCGGGACGCCGGGGTCCCGGGCGGGGACTGGGGCGGCGGGGGGCTGCGTCCGCCGACCGGGAAGGGGACGCCCCCGGTCGCCGAGGTCTGGGCCCGGGGGCGGGGGCTGCATATCCGGACTGGGAACGGGGTCCTCAGACGTCTGGATCCGTGCGCGCGGGGGGGAATGTCCGGTCCCGGGGCCGGCCCTGGGCCTAGAGGCGGAGGTCTGCCCCCCGGGTCGCCCGAGGGTCGCGGGCACCTGGCCCTGGCCTGGGGCGGGAGTGCGCGGCTCGGGGTCCGGGAGGAGGATCCGACGCTCAAGTAAGGGTCCCCAGGCAGGATCTCTGAACTGAGTTGGGGTGTAGGGATAAGGAGATGCCCCATCGGGGGTCTTCTCTCTGCTTGGAGAGGGCCCCTGACAGGGTCCTAGCCTGAGGCCTGGGGCTGGCGTTTGTGGGCAAAGGTGGGGGGATGGGGTCTTCCCAGAGTCAGTATGAGGAGGGGGCAGGGGTGTCCAGAGACCTCAGTCCCAAAGACAGGAGAAGAGGGGGGCGGGGGTCTGGTCTCCCAGCTGGGTCATGTACGTTGGGGGAAAGTGTTGGTATTTGGGGGTTGCAGTTATGTGGGGGAATGCGGATCCAGGAGGCTGGGGTGCTGGGCTGTGGGGCAGATGTGGGGAGCTCTGGTCTGAGTACCCCGGGTCGAGACTGGAAGATGAGAGCCGGCAGATTGAGAAGGAAGGGAAGGACTCACACAGGGTCAAAGGGTGAATGTCAGCCCTCCCAGCAGGAGGGGGGCGGGGGGCTGGTGTGTAGAGCAGGGAGGGAGAGTGAAAGTGGAGTCTCAGGGGGTGCACCGGGCAGTCTCTGAATAGAGGATGTGCAGCTGGTCTTGTGTCTCCCCAGCGGGGGCTGCCGCCCACCTCCAAGAGATGCCCCCCGAGGAGGGGAGGGGTGAGCAAGGAGGCAGGAGGCCAGGAACAGTTAATTCAGCGCTTCTGAAGGGCTCCCTCCAACCCCGCGCCGGCCCTGCCTCCAAACAAGGGTCACAGAGTCAGGGACACACAGTGGGGGACAACCTAGAGCCCCCAACAGCCTCAGCGAGGCAGCTGCTCTCGGCCTCCCGCCCACACACACCGGGTATGGCCCCGCGTCCCCGGAGGAGCGCACCTGCAGCCGCCCACCCCCACGGCAGCTTCGTGCGTGCAGGTCAGCGGTCAGCCGGCCCACGCAGCACTCGGGGCCTTGCGCAGACGGTCTGAGCGCTCCTCCGAGTGATCTGACTCACTGTCTGACTTTCTGACTGCCCGCCTCTGTCTGTCTGTCACTTGTCACTTTCAGTCCCTGTAGGCATCTCAGCCATTTCCGGAGGCTCCCTGGCTCTGGGGGACATTCCCTGGGTCTCTGTCTCTGGGTCTCTCCATCTCTCCATCCCTGCTGGTCTCAGCACAATTTCACATCTGTCCCTCCCTGCCTCTGGATATGCTTCCCGCTGTCACACCACGTGTCTCTCTGTCCTTTCCTGGCTCTCTCCCGGGAGCCTTGGTCCTCGTTTACTTCTGGGAATTCACGTCCCCTCTCAGGCACTAACATCTCTCATTTTTCTCCCTGTCCTGTCCTTGTCTCTAGCCCTTTCCTCTCCGCCCCTCACTCCCTTTCCTCTCCCTTCACCTCCTGGTACCCTTTCTCTGTCCCTTGATTCTCAAGATAACTTCTCACTTTCCACCTCTGGACCCCAGACATTCTGGTGTTGACACATCACACATCCTGGCAGCTTAGTGGAGCCAGGAGGTGGCTTATGACCTAGGTCACATGCTTTTCCACCTCCCGACCTCCGCTTCCCCATCTGAGAACTGGGGGCCCTGGGGGGTGGGTTGGGGGGGCGGCTGGGGAGCTGAAACAGAACCAGGAGGCAGAAAGGCAGCCCCACCTGCCCTCCCACCCACCCACTGACAGTTGGGGCTCTCTGAGGTAAAGCTCACGGGAGATACACCACATTGCATCCTCTCCTCTCTTTCTGTTTTCCCACCTGGTGGAGGAATTCCTGCAGGATCCCAGTCTGCGTGTCCCGGCCACACCTCCCCAACCTGCTGTCCTTCCACAGCCGTCTCTGTCACACACGCAGCGTTCCACGTGGGGAAGGGACCGGTTTGTGTGTGGGTGCTTTTTTCAAGACAGAAACGAAATAAACCCATTGCTCTGCAGTTGGCTTTTCTCCTCCATTCGGGCATTTGCAGGGATTGTTCTGGCTTTGTTTGTCTACAGGGCTGTTCCCAAACACTCTGGCCAGCAGTGTGGCCGTATTAGAGAAGGCAGTGTGGACCCAGGCCTGCGGACCAGGGCCCCCCGCCGACCCCACCGCCGCCGCCACCAGCTTGTCTGGATTGTGGTCTTGGCCTCATCTATTCATTTAGCTCATATTTCCTGAGCACAGTCTCTGTCCCAGGCTCTGGGGCTCTACAGCCAGATGAACTCACTGCCCTCACGGAGCTTAGATCCTGGTGGGACGGAGAGAGATAAAAAAAAAAAACACAACTGAAAATGGAAAAACAAGCCAGCAAGTAAGTAGGTCATTCTAGAGAGTGACGGGTAACGTGAAAGAAATCAGGGACAAGCTGGCCAAGGAGCTCAGGTGGTCCAGGGAGCGTCTCTGGCCAAGGAGCTCAGGTGGTCCAGGGAGCGTCTCTGGCCAAGGAGCTCAGGTGGTCCAGGGAGCGTCTCTGGCCAAGGAGCTCAGGTGGTCCAGGGAGCGTCTCTGGCCAAGGAGCTCAGGTGGTCCAGGGAGCGTCTCTGGCCAAGGAGCTCAGGTGGTCCAGGGAGCGCCTCTGGCCAAGGAGCTCAGGTGGTCCAGGGAGCATCTCTGAGCAGCCTCAAGCGCAGTTCAGACCATGAAAGAAGTAGAGTCAGAGTTCAGAAGACCCCGAGGGAACCGCAGAGGCAAGGGCCCTGAGGTGGGGACCAGTGGAGATTTCCAAGGCATTCAGACTCCAGGGATCAGTGATGGGAAGGCCCCTGGACTTCCAAGGTCAGCAACAAGAAAGAGGGGTCTGGGGGCTCCTCCGTGGCCGTGAGGCCAAGCCCCAGCTCTTCCTTCCCAGAGCCACATACCCCTCCCAGCATGTCCCCACGTCCCCTCAGGCCAGCCATGCTTCTTGCTACCGGCTCACACACTCCTGCACCTCGGGATCCCCATCTGTGGGTTCCAGGACTGTGGAATCCAAGCATCCCTCCATTGGAGGGTCCCAATTTTGCCTAAGTTCCTTCCCAGGGTGATAGGAGGTTCTTATCTCTAACTCAAGCCAGCTGGCTTCTTAGAGATCCCCTTCTCTCTCAGAAGAGGGGAGCTCCCACCTGCAACCTTCATCCCTTGATTTATCAAATAGGCATGAGGGCTGCTAGTTTGGACTGGCTGAGGCCCACGGGGTCCCTCCAGGCACCACTGAACCCCCAGACCCGCTGGCACCTGCCCAAAATTATCCCACCAGGCAGCTGTTAGTGGGCACTTAACCACCAGGTTCTGTATGGAACCATTACTTGAATGACTTCATTTACTCCTCCCCCCACAATCCATGAGGGAGGCATGATGATCATCCCCTGTTTACAGGTAGGGAAACTGAGTCCCAGGGAAGGGAAGTAACTTGTGCAGCACAGGGGCAGAGCTGGGACTTGAACCGGGGCAGCCCGGTTCCCCAGTCTGTTCTTTCAGGCGCCTGTTTACGCTGGTGTCGGAGCAGACGCTGAGGGGCAGCTGTCAGGAGTGGGTGCCAGGCACAGAGCAACTCACAACCCAGAGGCGGCCTGCTCGTCCCGTGCCCCACCCCCGGGAGACTGACCCCAGACCAGGGATAACGATAGATGTTTCTTTAAAAAGAAGGTGCGATATGGAACAACTAGCATTTATGGGGCCCCTTCTGCACGCGAAGCATTGAGCTAAACATTTTACCAGCGTGTTCTTGCGGATCCCCTCACAAAAACCCGCAGAGGGGAGAACTGTTGTTTTTCTCACTTTAACAGATCAGGGAACTGAGACTCAGTTTAGTGGAGGGGGTTCCCCAGCCAGGAAATGCTGGGGCAGACATTTGATCTCTCAGCTCAGGCTCCTCAGAACTCTCTTAGCCAGTCTCTAGAGACCGTCTGTTTCCTCTGTGAACACACTTCCCTGCTCCGAGGTAAGCCCAGCTCTGGGGAACACAGCCAAGATCCGAGCCCTTGGGGAATCCCCGGTCAGGTGGAGGACACTGTCACGGCTGAGTCAAAGTGTACCCACTCCAGAGAGCGGAGACTGTCGGCGGTGAACACTCAGGGAGGTCCTCCTGGAGCGGGGGCAGGGCACTTGAGTTTGGGTCTTGAAGAATGAGTAGGAGTTCAAGATTTGGCGAAGGCATCCATTTATATTCACTCAATCAACAGATATTTCCCAAGGCCTTCTAGGGTGAGAACCAGTGCCGGGAGATGCTGGAGAGTCAGACCCAGGCTCTGCCCTCAAGAAACTTGGTACTGCCCTGCCAGGCCACAAACAGGGCATGCTGGGGACACAGAAATGGCCTGCCCTGGAGGAGCAGGTTTGGGAGGCAGTTGACCCTGATCCAAGGCTCCCTGGGCTTATACACACCATCTCTCCCAGGAGAGGCCCCACTCCATTAGGTCGCTGAAGAAAGGAAGAGTTTGATGGGAAACTGAGACAGAGGGTTGGACAGAGCCAGGCCCCACATGCACTGAGGGAGATGAGACAGGAGTGTGACACCAGGGCCCCGGACACCAGGCCGAGGGGCTGGGACTGTCCAGTGGCAGCAGGGAGCCATGGGAGGAGCCAGGCAGTTCTGGGTGTTGGAAAGACCCCTCTGGCAAGGGGGTTGTAGGTTTGTATTTCTGTCCTGGTTAGAGTCCTGGCTGCTGGTGTGGGGGCCGCTCCTCACTCCGGAGCCCTGGTCTGTGGGCCCAGCTCATGCAGTGGCCCTTGGCTGCAGTCAGGAGCTGAGCCCAGGAACCCTGGTTTCCTTAAAGCTGTGCAGCACCTTGGACAGCTCCCTCAATAACCTTGGCTGGGTCCCCCTGATTGGGGGAAGGGGGGTGTTTGCCCATAGGGGACATTTAGCAATGACTGGAGGCACTTTTGGTTGTCGTGGCTGTGCGGTGGGAGGAGCTACCCCACATCCTCCACTGGGCAGGATGACATCCTCTGTGTGTGTGTGGCCATGTGTGATCTGATTGTAGGTGACAGCGTGACTGTGTGTGCCTGACTCTTGGCCCAGAGCAGCCCCTTTGTATTTCAGAGGCTGTGACGATGTAGCTGTGTCACTGCACAGGCTGTAGCTTCATGCACAAAATTCCAGAGTGGGGTTGGGAATGAGCATGGCCCTCGGGCTGGCGGTGTCACCCAGGATTAGGCCATCGTGTGTGAAGATGGCCCCCTGGGTAGGGCTGTGACCCTGTGTAGACTTTTTGCCTGTGTGGGGGAGGCTGTTGGTGTCGGTGTAGCTGGGTTGTACCGTACCTGGTGGGGTGACCGTGTGCGACATTGCTTGGCCTGGGACATCCCTCTGTGCCTGAGCGTGACAACAGAGTGCTCCCAAGAGAGACTTGTCTTTTCTAACTGACCTTCTGCTGGGTGTGTGTCTCGGGCTGTGTTGTCACCTTGAGTGTGTGTGAGCCTGTCCCTCTGAGCAGGGCCCAGCACCACTTTTTGTGACTGAGTGTGGGACTGTTCCCTGGCCGGGTGCTGGCTCTGTGTGTCTTTCCTGGGCCCTGGTGGCTGTGGGTGTGTCCATGGGGGGGTGTGTCTATATGCCATCTCCTGCTGTCAACAAGGCTGTGTGTGGCAGTGTCCAGTCTGCACAGCGGGGAGGGCCAGCCCCTTCTCTCCATCCAGGAGTGAGTGGGAGAGGCCAGGGTGAGGGGCTGCCCACCGACTGGCTCTGCCCCAGCCCTGTCCTGAGGGGCTGCTGATGGACAGGGCCCTCGGGAGTCATTGGGTGGCACAGGCAATTAATTCATCAGATTAATTAGCTCCTCATCCCAGGGCAGGGCAGGGCCCTCCCTCCCGAGGCGTCCAAGGTCATCCGGCCTCCTCCTCTCCTCAGCCTGTGCATCTCCGACCGCCTCCACTTGCCCAGCCCCCACTGCTGGCTCTGGTCCAGCCCGCTGGCCACGGTCCACAGAGAGATGAATGGGTGGGGGTGGGGACCCTGCTGGGCAATGGGGCCTGCATGCTGCACTGGAGTGTGCAGGCGGGCGTGGGCCTGTGCCCGCACAGTGTGCCCGGTGAGCATGGGCACCCAGCTGCGTCTGTGTAGATGCTGTGTGTGCAAAGGTTTGTGTGTGGCTGTGCATCAGGCCTAAGGGTATGTTTGTGCATTTGTGGTAGATGTGTGTCTGGTGGACATAAGCATGCATGTGTGTATCTGTATGTGTGCACATGTGGGTGTTGAATGCATGTGGCCTGTTCCACGTGTGTGCCTTTCTATGTATTTCTGAATGAACATGTGCATGTGTGTCTGCATGCGTTGGTTGCATATGTACATGTTTCTGTGTGTATCTGTGTACTCATGCATCTGGATATGTGTGTACCCATGTCCATCTGTGTGTATATCTGTGTGCATCTGTGTATGTGTGTCTTGTATGGATATGTATCTGTGCATTTCTAATCTGTGTGAGTCTCTTCACTATAACTATATGTGTGCATACATGTATGTGCGTGTGCATACACGTGTATCTGTGCAGGTATATGTGTCTGTGTGTATAAGTATGTGTCTCTGTACACAGTACCTGTGGATATGTGTACACGTGTGACTGTGTGGGTGGGGGTGTACATTGGTCTTGTGTACATGTGTTTGTGTGCTATGATTGAGATATGGTCTTGGTGTCTCTGGAGGTGCGTACTTTGTGTGTTCCCATCTGTCTGAGTCAGTGCGGGCTTGTAGGGAGATACATGTTGCACATGTCTTCTCTGAGTGTGGCTGCCGTGTGTGTTTTTGGAAACATCAGTGACCATGAGTGCAGTGGGTGTGGAGAATGTGTGTGCGAGGGCGTGTGTGTGTCCCCACGGTGCTGAGCTGCCCTCCCACCCACAGGTCTGCTGTCCCAGAGCCTGGAGTTCAGCTCTCCCGCCGACAACTACACAGTGTGCGAAGGCGACAATGCCACCCTCAGGTACGGGACTTGGATCTCCCTGCGACCGTGGTCCTTCCCTCTCCCTTCCCTACGGAAAGCGATCCTGACCTGGGCACAGCCCCGCACCTCCCTGTCAGGAGAGGCCAGCAGGGGCACGGACTCTGGGCCTCGGCGTCCCTGTCTGTCAAATAAGTGGAAGTACAGTCACCACTGTGTCCGGTTGTTGTGGGGATTTAAGGGTCTGACCCCACACCCCGAGCTGAGAGAGCATGGCACACTGTGGTTGCTTAATAAATGAGAGCCAGGATCATCAGTCCCCCAGACTGAGTTCCTGTCCCCTCTCTCTGGGTCCCTGCCCCCTCTCTCTCTAGGTCCCTGTCTCTCTGGGTCCCTGTCTCTCTCTCTCTCTCTGGGTCCCTGTCTCTCTCTCTCTCTGGGTCCCTGTCTCTCTGGGTCCCTGTCTCTCTCTCTCTCTCTCTCTCTCTCTCTCTGGGTCCCTGTCTCTCTCTCTCTCTGGGTCCCTGTCCCCTCTCTCTGGGTCCCTGCGCCCTCTCTCTCTGGGTCCCTGTCTCTCTCTCTCTCTCTCTCTCTCTCTCTCTCTGGGTCTCTGTCTCTCTCTCTCGGTCAATCTCCCTCATCTCTCTCATCTCTCAATCTCTCTCTCTGGTCCTCTGTCTCTCTCTCGCTTGGTCTCGGTCTCCCTCTCTCATCCCTCTCTCTCTGGTCCGTCCCTCTCTCTTCTCTCTCTCTCTCCTCTCTCTGTCCTCTCTCTCTCTGTCTCTGTCTCTCTCTCTCCTGGGTCCTCCTGTCCCTCTCTCTGGTCCCTGCCCCTCGTCGCTCGAGGGGTCCCCTGTCTCTCTCCTCTCTCTCTCTGGGTCCCTGCCCCCTCTCTCTCTAGGTCCCTGTCTCTCTCTCTCTCTCTCTCTCTCTCTCTCTCTCTCTGGGTCCCTGTCACTGTCTCTCTCTCTCTGGGTCCCTGCCCCTCTCTCTGGGTCCCTGCCCCCTCTCTCTGGGTCCCTGTTCCCTCTCTCTGGGTCCCTGTCCCCTCTCCTTGGGTCCCGCCCCCTCTCTCTGGGTTCCTGTCTCTCTCTCTGGGTCCCTGTCCGCTCTCCCTGGGTCCCTGTCTGCTCTCCCTGGGTCCCTGTCCCCTCTCCCTGGGCCCCTGTCCCCTCTCTCTGGGTCTGTGTCCCTCATATTTATCTCTTTCCCTCTCTCCCGAAGTGCCTGTCCTCTTTTTGGGTCTCTGGCACAAAAATCACTCCATAACCATCAGCTACCAGTCTATGTACACTTGAGCTCACACCTTTCCCTCTGGGGCTCAGTTTACCCACCTGTAAAGTAGGCACATTCACCTCTACCTCATAGGGCTGGGGTGGGACCTGGAGATGTCCTGGGTCTCCCTGCCCACCTCCAAGCTCCTGCGACAGGAGAACCAGGCTGAGGTGGGGGAAAGAAGAACCTTCCTCCCTTCGTCCTCCCCCGCAGCTGCTTCATCGACGAGCACGTGACCCGCGTGGCCTGGCTGAACCGCTCCAACATCCTGTACGCGGGCAACGACCGCTGGACCAGCGACCCGCGGGTGCGGCTGCTCATCAACACGCCCGAGGAGTTCTCCATCCTCATCACCCAGGTGGGGCTGGGCGACGAGGGCCTCTACACCTGCTCCTTCCAGACCCGCCACCAGCCCTACACCACTCAGGTCTACCTCATCGTGCACGGTGAGCCCCGTGGGCGCGGCCGGGGGTGTGGCGAGGGAGGGCGCGGGGGAGGGGCAGATCGTGGGTAACCCACATGGAAGGCAGACACAGCCTGCCCTTGCGGATTTCAACCAAGAAGAGGGAGGAACAGTCACACAGACCCTTCAGTGTGGCAGCTTCTACGTCAGGAGAGCTACAGGGTGAGGGGAAGGTGTGCTCACGGGAAGATCACATTCATTGGCTCAGCCCCATGAATTGAGCACCTACTATGTGCAGGCATTGTTCCAGGCACTGGGGATAGAGAAGGGACCGATCAGGCTGTGCCCACTCCTTTGGAGGTGACTATCCAAGGAGAGGCGGCTTCCCAGACATAATGTCTGAGCTGAGACCGTCCGCCAGGTGCAGAGCTGGTACCGGGGAAGGAAGGCCTGTACAGGCGCCCAGGGAGCAAATGAGTCAGGTGTGCAGAAGGGGGCAGAAGGAAGAGAGAGGGATGAGGCTGCCTCGCCGGGATCAGAAATGGGCTGGACAGAGGGAGCTCCCACAGAGATGGGAACTCAGACACAGGGACAGTTCAGCAGGGCTGGGACGAGCCCGACTTGGGAGCCAGACTTGGGTTCCAACCTCAGCTCCCACCGCCAGCTGAGGGACCCTGAGCGGGCAGGGCGGTCTCAACCTCCTCACATGAATTGAACCTAAGACATCCTTATTTGGAAGGGGCACCTTTATTGTATGCTCTGCTGGAAAAGAAAAACAAAAAACAAAAACCTGCCAATTAAACTCTGGCATCCAGATTAGAGACATGATCAAGTGGGGTGAAAAAAACACCCACACATGTTAGAATTGATGAACAGAGTTGCGTCTACCCCAGAGGGTAGCCGTAAGCATTTAATGAGTTCTTTTTTTTTTTTTTTCTTTATTGATTTTAGAGAGAGAGGAAGGGAGAGAAAGAGATAGAAACATCGAGAGAGAACATCGACTGGCCGCCTACTGCATGCCCCCCACTTGGCCCACAACCAGGGCATGTGCTCTGACTGGGAATTGAACCCGCGACCTCTTGGCGCATGGGTCACACTCAACCACTGAACCACACCAGCCGGGCATGAGTTCATTTTTGTAACACTGAGGTTTACCAGACCGTAAGACCATGCGATTATTTGTTAAATAAGTTACTTTTCTAAAATAATAATAATAACAAATAAATAAAAATAAAGGTGGGGAGAGACAAATTCACAACAGAAGACAGAAAAAGCCAAGTTAGGATGAAGGCAGAGAGAGACAGAGACCGAGGAACACAGAAGTTAGACAAGAAACTAGACCCAGAGGCCAGGGAGAAACAGAAATCTTACCTTAACGAAAGAGAGAATGTCAGCTGGACTCCTAGGCCTGGGGGGGGGGGGGGCCTGAGACCTGGACTCCTGGGTCCTGGGAGCCCATATCCAGCCTGTCTTTGACCTCTTCCCCTCCCCCTCAGTACCCGCCCGCATTGTGAACATCTCCTCGCCTGTGACCGTGAATGAGGGGGGCAATGTGAACTTGCTTTGCCTGGCTGTGGGGCGGCCGGAACCCACGGTTACCTGGAGGCAGCTCCGAGGTGAGGCTCCCACCCCTGGCCCAGCGCCCCTTCTCCTGCTCCACACTTTGGGCCCTTCGTTCCCCAAATCCCTAGCTAGGTTCCCAGAGCTCTTCTTTCCTCCACTCCCGATCCCTCTAACCCTTGTGATGACTCAATTTCCCCTCCCACCCCAATCCCATGACTTCCTCGGCAGACCTCATCCTTAGAGCCTTCACCGCTTTGCCAAGAGCTGGGCCATTTCCGCCAAATCACCCATGAGACCCCCGCCACACCCCTCCCGCCCCTGCTCCATCCGGTCCCCACCGCCAACATCCACAGTGTCTTCCCCATCAGCCACAGGATTCTCCTGGACTCAGATCCCTGCCACTGGATGCCCTGAGCCAGGTTACAGCCAGTGGCCCCGCCCACATTCCTGCCTCCTGGTCACATCACTCCAGCTCTGCTGGATGCTCCAGCCCAGCAGTTCCTAAAGTGTGGTCCCCAAAATGGCAGCATCAGCAGCACCTGGGAACTCGCCAGAAAAGCACATTCCTGGGCCCGCCCCAGACTGGATGACTAGAAATCACCCCCACCCCCCCAACCCCCCACTACACTTGAACAAGCCCTTTAGGTGATTTTGATGATGGAGCTGAGAACCACTGCTGTAGGCGACCCCCGAATATAGTGCCAAGGTGCCTGAGCGTGACTTCCCAGATCCTGACATCTCCCCCAGCCCCTTTCACCTGGATCTCCACCACCACTTCCCAGATCTCTGGATCCTCATTCACTGGGTCTTTGGAGACCAGTGGTGCCCATCACTGGATCCCCTGAGAGCCCAGAACCCAATAACTAGGTCTCAGATCCCTAATCCTCCCCTACTGGGTCTGAGATCCTGGTTTCCCAGATACCCTAAGTCCCAAAGGGTCTTCTGAGCCCAGATCTGTTTTAAGACCCCATGTATTCAGATTATTGATTCCAATGACCAGATCCAGATTCTCCGAACCCCAAGAGCTATATCCCAGAACTCTAGACCCTCCCCCATTGGGTCTGTATTTCCTGGATCTTTCTGAGCCCCAGGACCCTGAGATTCTCCCCACTGGGTCCTTTGAGCCCCATGATCTGAGTCACGTATCCCAGATCCCCGGATCCCTGCACCCCCAAATTCTAGGACCCTCCCTACTGGGTTCCAGTTATGAAGCCCCATCTTCACTCCCTGCCCCACCCCTAGCAGGAGATCCCAGCGCCCCCACCCCTCCTGCAAGCCCCTCCTATCTCCCATTGGCCCCGGGCACTCCAGGCCCTGCGGTGCCCGCCCCGCTGATGTGTGTCCGTGTTGTGCCCGTGTTGTCCCGTGTTAAGTGTTTGTGTCCGGCCTCGCCCCCTCCCCTTCCCAACCTCCACAGACGGCTTCATCTCCGAGGGAGAGATCCTTGAGATTTCCGACATCCAGCGGGGCCAGGCTGGGGAATATGAATGCGTGACTCACAACGGGGTCAACTCTGCACCTGACAGCCGCCGCGTGCTGGTCACCGTCAACTGTGAGCTCCCTGGCAGTGCGCACGAAAGTGGGGCGGGCCCCGAGTCCCTGCGCAAGAAGGCTCTGAGGGAGGAGAGGGCAGGGGACCTGAGCTCCTGAGGAGGGAGGAGGGGGCAGGGGTGGGACCCCTTGGGCCCCATCTGGCTAGGAGAATTCGCTGACCCTCGCCCGTCACCAGATCCTCCGACCATCACGGACGTGACCAGCGCCCGCACGGCCCTGGGCCGGGCTGCCCTCCTGCGCTGCGAAGCCATGGCGGTGCCCCCCGCGGACTTCCAGTGGTACAAGGATGACAGACTGTGAGGACAGCACCGGGGCGGCCATGGGAGGACAGGCGTCCTTGCTACCTTGGACTGCGGGAGGGCGGGGAGTGGGGGCGTTGCGCGCGCGCGGAAGGTGGCACAGTCCCAGGTGCCTAGTACGGGGATGGGGGTGGGTGGGTTCCAGCTGTTAGGGGATGAGGTCCGCTTGGCCCCAGAGAGAGACAGTGGGGACTTACTGGGACTTGGGGCCTACGATGATGGGTGCTGGAACTCCATCTCCTATTCAGGGAGAAGGTCTGGCGGGGAAGCTCCAGGAGACCTTTGGGGCTGGGATCCAGCAGAGTCTGGGAGCCCCTAGAGACTAGGGGCACACAGCGGGAGAGTCCAGTGTCGTTGAGGGGCAGGGGTGCCTGGAGAGGGGCATCGGTGGGAGTGGCCCGGGATCCTTAGGGAGCTAGACCCCAGGTCTGTGTCTGCGCGCGCGCGCGTATGCGTGTGTGTGTGTGTGTGTGTGTGTGTGTGTACGGGGGCGTTGTTGGGGGCGTTGGGGGATTGGGGAGCCTGAGAGTCGAGGGCCTGGGCTCTGCGCCCCGAGGGTTCACGGCCAGGTCCCCGGCAGGCTGAGCAGCGGCACGGCGGAAGGCCTGAAGGTGCAAACGGAGCGCACCCGCTCGATGCTCCTCTTCGCCAACGTGAGCGCCCGGCATTACGGCAACTACACGTGTCGCGCCGCCAACCGGCTAGGAGCGTCCAGCGCCTCCATGCGGCTCCTGCGTGCGTCTAAGCGCTGGTCGGCGGGAGGGGCGGGGCCTGGGCGGGGCGGGGCGGGGTCCTGGGAGAGTGGGCGGGGCCGGGGCGGTGGAGGCGCCGGGAACGCCCCCAGACTTACCCAGACCTTTGGAAAGAAGAACGCTGGGACTCAAGCAATGTGACTGAACAAGAAACCGATCGCTGTAATGATTATCGATCCACTGGGTGCCGACTAAGGGTTGGGCGCTGGGTGCTGGGGACGCAGCAGTGCAGAGAGACAAGGTCTAGGGGCTCACAGGACTTACGGTCCTAGTAGTAGCAGAAAAGCAATAAACAAGTAGACAAATAAAATGAAAAGCAAACACACATACACATAAATAAGAAAAAAAATAATAGGCTTTCCCCTTATAATAATAGGACTGGGGCTGGGCTGAAATGGTAACATTAGATAAGCTCATCAGAGACATCTTCCTGGGGGCGGGTAACTTTTGACTGAGACCTGAATGGGAAGAAGCAGCCAGCCTTGCCCAGTTCCGCAGGAAGGGCTTTGCAGCCAGGGGACAGAGAATGCAAAGGCACAGCAGGTGGCCAGCACGACCTGAGCAAAGTGATCGCTGGAACCTGAGGTCACAGAGGAAGGGAGAGCCAGTCCCCCCGGCCATGGTCAAGGTTTAGGATTTTATTCTACTGCAGGGCGAGGCCACTGGTGGCTGTTAAACAGGGGAATGGAGGGTGGTTGACGTTTCTCAAAAGAATCACTTTGCTGTTTGAGGGATGGGCTATGGGGGGCGCACAATAGAGGCAAGGAGGCCAGAGGGGAGGCTACTGTAGTGATCCAGGCTTGGAGTGGTCGGGGGTGGCACAAAATGTCTCTATCAGGGAGATGTTTTGGAGGTGGCAGGAAGAGGGAAGTGGAGGTCAGGTGATTCCAAAGTTGGCTTGAGCAGCGGGGTGGATGGGATGTAGAACTGAAGCATTGGAGTGAAGAAACAGTGGGGGTGACACAGGGCAGCAGTCAGTCTGGGGGACAAAAACCAAGGGTGCAGGTTTGGACATGCTGCCTGTAGGATGCTTGGTGGCAGTGCTGGATAAATGGAAACTATGGCAGAAAGATATCGAGAGTCCCAGGCTGATGACAGAGAGGTGGAGATCTGAGAAAATCAGGGAAATAAGAGCCAGATGCTCCAGGAGATGCTGAGATGCAAAACAGTCACATGGAGTGAAAGGCTCAGAATGGCCTCTGGAGAGAGAACCTCAAAGGAGACCCTCAGGGACCAGCACAGACAGCCACCTGGCAGAGACACACATGGGTGTCCCCCTTCCAGGCCTCCTCCCATGACCCTCTTTCTTTCTCTAGGCCCCGGATCGCTGGAGAACTCAGCCCCGAGGCCTCCGGGACCGCTGACCCTCCTCTCTGCCCTGGGCTGGCTGTGGTGGAGGATGTAGGAAGAACCCAGTGCAGCTCGCCTCTCCCTTCGGGGGCCTGAGGCCGAGAGCAAGAGAAAAAAGGGGGAGCAAGCGGCGTGGGTCTCAAGGGGGCGAAGAGCTCAGCCACGGAGGAAGAAGAGAGGAGGAGGAAGAAAGATCTTTAGAGAACCCATCACTGTGAGGGATAACGCAAAATTATGCATCTTTCTACAGCCATTCTCGCCACCGTTCACGTTTCTGATTGTGACCCACCCCCGCCACTCCCACCCTTCTCTTAGCTCAGGCTGTCAACTGAATCGCATGTGTGTAGTGGGTGTGTGCGTGTGAGCCTGCACGTGTGTATATGTGTGTTGGGGGAGTGGGGGGGCAGGGTGGAGAAGGGGCTCAAAATCTTCCCTCCCCGACATGCCCACATCCATTGCCCCAACCCTGCTGCCTCTCCCCTGGGGCTGGACGTAGGTGTGGGGACTTCGTGGTAGAAGCTGTGAGGGGAGGTTTTTCAAGCCCCTTGCTTTCCCAATATATGCACGCACACCTCCCCCCGGCCACCCCTGCTGGAAAGGTGTCGCCTGGGCAGGTTGGGAGTGGGGAGGGGCGTTGCACTCACCTGTCAGGCTGTCACTCAGCCTTTGTGAGCAGGTGGGAGATCTCCATCTGGGTTCTGGGTCCCCCTGCTGTCAACTACCAACTGCTGTAGCCAGAGGCTCCATCGCTGGCTCAGCGACCTGAGACCTTCCCACTTTCCCAGTCTTCCCTCTCCCTGGACTTTCTGGCCCTTCTGGGCTAATCGGTGCTTCCATCCAACTGTCAGGCTGGTGTCTGTGGTCACCTGTCTGTCTCAGTGCTTTGCCCTGCCCGACCCCCACTTCCTTTGGCCACCTGCAGCGCCAACCAGCTGTCCTCCGCGTCCCTGCAGCCGGCCCACATCTTTGGGTTTGCTGGTCTCCTACTCCCTGGCCTCTCCATCAACTGTACCTCCCAAAGGCTGACCTGACCGCGCGCATACACACACACACACACACACACCAGCGACTGACCAGCAATAGCCCCCCGGGCTCCAGCTGTAGCCAGTGACCAGCCGTTGTTCCCCCAAGGGTGGGCAACTGTCTTCCCCTAAGAGTGGACAACTGCCATCAGGAAGGGACACTGAGAGGCTGTAGCCTCTCTGATTGTAGGAATACCCCACCCTGGCACACCACATCACGCAAAGTTGGGGAGAGAGGCCTCACACAGACATCCCAAGCCCAGACCAAGATGCCAAGTCACCAGCTCCAACTCCCGGGAGACCCTCTATGAACACCCACCCTGAACCACATCACCCAGAGCTTGGGAGGGACGAGGGCAGAGCAGGGGCAGGGGGGCAAGGGGCAGTGACTGTACCTCAGACAGGGGCGTGGGCCCCATCCCACATTGTCTTCCATTCCCAGGGTCCGGGAGATGGGGATGGGAGGGGGAGGGAGACAAGGGAGGGGGCGGGAGGGCCCTGGGTGCCGTGTGTTCCAATTCATGGGGAGTGTTGAGACCACCACACCAATAAACGCCTTTTTCCAAAGTCTCTGCCTGCAGGTGTCCATGTCATTAAGGATTCGGGTGCATGGAGGGCAAAGGGTCATGGTCATTGGTGGTGCCTCCCCAGCATCATTCCCACAGTCTTCTTTCTCTTTGGTAGCTTTGGAATTGACCCAGTATAGAGGTGGCCCTGATTGGCTTAAGCCACTGGGCATAGCCTATCTCCCACTGTGACTGGTTCAGAGCTAACGAGAGTGAATACTGGGCCATATGGATTCACAAGAAGAGATGGTCTTCCATTGGACAATGTGACTCAACAATGTGATGTCTAGACTTGGGTGGTTGCTTTTCCCCATCACAGGGAGAGCTCTTGGGTTTGTGAAGACAGCAATGGTGGACGAGACAGAATGTGGAGCCTGAGAATGATAGAAACACTATGGAAAGCAGAGTGGAAGGTCTAGAGAAACTGAACCCATGATGACATCATTTGAGCTGCTGGATCAAAACTTACCTGGTGCCCACCTTCAGTTACACAAGCAAAGTCACCCCTATGTTTAAGCCAGTTTGTGTTAGGTTTTATATCTCTGGTGATCAAAAAGAAAATGACAACTCTAACTGATATAAAAGAGATATGCAGGGACCAGGTACCCAGGACTCCAGTCCTCAACTCTTCAAAATGATCCAAGAGCCCTATTTTCCAAAGGCCTTTTTCACCCCAGTCTATAATCAGAACACCTCACGTCCTGTGCTTCCCTGAGCCAGATGCTGGTTGCCTATACTTTATTTGCTTCTAGTTTTTATAATTTTTATTGTTGAGAGTATTACAGATGTTCCCCCTTTTTTCCCCCATTGCCCCCCTCCACCTGGTTGCCACACCACCCTAGGCCTTCACCTCTTTATTGTCTGTGTGCATGGGCAATGCATATATGCATATATGTTCTTTGGTTAATTTCTTTCCACCCCTCCTTCCCTCTTTCCTCTGAAATTCGTCAGTCTGTTCCATGTTTCCATGCCTCAGGTTCTGTTATTCATCAATTTATTTTGTTCATTAGATTCCACATGTAAGTGAGATCATGTAACATTTGTCTTTCTCTGTCTGCCTTGTTTCCTCTCTCTTTGCTGTCAGACCCACCTCCCATGATACAGGATGAGATGTTTGGTTTCCCAGCCTCCCTTGCGGTGAGTGACATGGCCAGTTTTGGATCAATGACACAAGGGAGGTTTTCTGGTAGGCTTCCAGGAAAGTTTTTCACCCACTCATAAGATTGATTGAGGAGAGGTGTATGAGAAGAGAACCCTGCTCCCTTTTTTGTCTCTAGATGCAGTTGTGTGAAGATGTGATGCCTGGAGCTGCAGCAGCCATCTTGCTACATGAGACAACATGCCAACCCCCTGAGGATGGCAGAGCAGAAAGATGCAATAAGCCCAGGTCCTCAGTGGTGTCACTAAGTTGCTGTGCCAGCCTGAAACCACCCACCTCCATGTTTCCACCATTGATTTTTTTTCAATTGCAGCCAAAAGAATCTTCTTTATTGATGCATTCCCTAAATTTCCAGTGAGAACCCATGCTGGAAAAGGAAGACATCATGCTGGGGTGAGCAGCAGCAAACCCAGCCCTTCACTGGCACCAAAACATTTAATCAGTTAACGTATATTTATTGATTGCCTGCTGTGTTTTAGGCTCTGTGTTAAGCTCTGGGGATAATGACATGGTCTCTGCCTTCAAGAAGTTCTCAGTTGAGAAAGAGAGTCAGAGGCTACACAAGTGATTATGTATTTATGGATGAGAAGCAGAAGATGCATTGTCTCCAGGGCCTAACCCATGATCGATGCAGGGGTTAGAGAAGCATCTTCTAAGATAGTAACAGTCACCTTTACACTTGAGAAATAAATAACACAGGAGAAAGAGCTGTGTGCTCTAATAGAGTAAACTCTAGGGGAAAAGGCCTGGAGGCACAATAAAGTGGCAGAGAGAAAGTCTGTGCTATTGGAGTGGCAGGGGGAAGTGTTGGAAGGGAGGTCAGAGAGGCCAACAGAGGTCAAGCCACGAGGCTTTGAAGGTCATGGTGAGGAGTTTGGACAACATCTAAAGGGCAATGGGCAGCCAGAGAAGGGCTTAAAGAGAAGGAGGACATGTGATCTGATCTGTTTTAAGATGAAGACTCTGGAAGCTGGATGGGCATGGCCTGGAGGAGGCAAAAGTGGACGTAGGAAGACCCTTTCAGAGATGAGGCGGGGCCCTCTCTCCGGCTCAGAGCAGCACAGCAAGCCCGCCTGTTTGTTGCACAACCTGCTCGTCGGGCCTGCTTGGTGGTTTGCAGACCGCGCTGTTAATCAGCTGGAGTCTCCTCCAGCCCAGGAGCCCCACCTCCTTAGTTGTACAAATACAGGTAGAGTCTTCTGAGGTGAGAGAGGGAGACAGGAAGTCCCACTTACAGTCTGACCTTCAGTCACAGTAGAACAGGAAGTCCCTGTCTGCTGCTGAAGCAAAACAGGAAGTCCTGCACCAAAAGTCCTGCACAGAGCAGGCCATTAGCCCTGGTCACACCTGTGTGGCTGCCCGAACAGTCTTCTGGACCCCACCTGGGGAGATGACTTGACTGGAGCTGGTGGCCTGGAAGAGAGAGGAGTTGTGGGGGACAACCTCAGGGGTTATCCCAGACATGACAGGACTCACCCTTTTCTAGCACTAGCTCTCATTATTCAGAAATTAGCTGGGTTTCCTCCATTTACAAGGAATGAAAATTTTCTAGCCACCCTTAGGAAAGATAAGGCATGCAACTTTACCAGGAAAAAGAAATTCCATCCCACTTTGGAGAGAAAATGGAAGTTTGGGCCATTTTTACAAGAAAAATAAAATAAATAACGGAGGTCCCATCTTACTCCTTTTGGGAGGAAAATTAGAATGTCACTTTTCTTTTGAAATGCATAAACGATGGATAGAAAGCCCTGTCCAACTTTCTTACATATTTTTAAAAGGATAAAAATTTATCAGATTTGCAAACTGACAAGTAAAGCTGAGAGAAGAGAATTCAGACTATCTCATCTCCCTGACTAAATAACACGAAATTCCACCCCGTCTCCGAGGGCACACACACTCACTTGGTGGGCCCTGGCTGAGCTGGGGTCCGCTATCGGGACTTTGGGGGGCAGAGGCTGTGGAGTCTTCACTGGGGGCACGCTCTGCATCTTCTTTTCTGGTGGCGGGGCCACTGGAGGAAAGGTGGGTAGATGTTTCTTTTTCTTGGGATTCTCTCCTGGAAAAGAGAGGAAGAAAAAAAAAGAAAAGAAAGAAAGAAGTGATTGGCTGCTCCACTTTGCCGCCCCAGCCAATGTCAAGGGAAGCTGGGCTGAGAGGCGGAGCCTTAATCTTATTGGCTGATATGGAGGAAAACCAGCAGACATGTGACCTGTGACCAAGCTGATTGGTTCAGCGAGGTTTCCAGTGGCATTTTACCTAAGGATCCTTCCAGGTTGCCCCTCACTCACCCCGAAAACGGCGCAGGCAGCAGACGCACAGGATGATAAGAGCTGCCAGGAGCGCCAGGCCCAGCAGGGAGCCCAGGACAATACCGGTGATGGCCCCAGGGCCCAGGGTTGGGCCTGGAAGAGACAAAGAGAACGGGGATGAGGGGAGTGAGAGCCAGGGCTGGGCCGGTTTCCTAAGTTCCCTGACCACCCTTTAGCCCAATACTCTCAATTTAACATTTACTGAGTGACTACCGCGTGCCCAGCATTCTACCAGATGATGAACATCTATTGCTGAGCAAACCCAAAATGCCTACTCCCATGGGGATTAATTTTAGGAGAAAAATCAGAAATGAATGTGCAAATAGCCTTGGCCAGTGTGCTCCATGGATAGTGCATCGACCTGGGAACTGAAGGGTCATGGGTTCAATTCCTGGTCAGTGGTCAAGGGCATATACCTGGGTTGCAGGTTCAGATCCCTGGCACCATGGGGGTACATTCGGAAGGCAACCAATCAATGTGTCTCTCTAACATCGATGTCTCTCTCTCTCTCTCTCTGTCCCTCCCTCCCTCCTTTCCACTCTCTCTAAAAAACAATGGGAAAAAACTATCCTAGGGTGAGGATTAAGAAAAGAAAAAACAAACAAAAAGAAAAGAAAGAACAAGAAAAGAAAAGAAAGAAAGGGGAAGAAATATGTGCAAATAAATAACATATTACAGACTGCGCTAAAAAGAAAAATAAATGCCCCGCGATAGAAATAATGGAAGGGGAGGTGACATTTAGAAATAATGGTGAGGGATGGTCCCTGAGGAAGTTATGTTGGAGCAGAGACTTGGAGAATATGGAGCCAGGCATGCTAAACCAGCGAAGGGTGTTCCAAACAGAGGGAAAATAAAATGCAAAGGCTCAGAGGTATGAAAGAGTTTTCTGCGTTTAGTGAGGCCAGAGTGGGTTAAGGATGTGGAATGAGAGGAGAGGAGGAAGAGGATAGTGTTAGAGGGGTTAGCAGGGGCCAAAGTCTGGGGAATCTTGAAGGAATCCATGAAAGGTTTTTAAGAAGGCTAGCACGCCCTGGCCGGCTTGGCTCAGCGGTTAGAGCCTCGGCCTGTGGTCCAGAGAGACCCAGGTTCAGTTCCCGCTAAGGGCACGTACTTCGGTTGCAGTTTGTCCCCGGCCCTGGTTGGGTCATGTGGGTGGCAACCACTTGATGTGTCCCTTTCACGTGGATGTTTCTCTCTCTCTCTCTCTCCCTCCCACTCTATCTGAACAAAAAATGGAAAAATATCCTTGGTTGAGAATTTAAAAAAAGAATAAGAAGAAGGCTAGCATGACATAATGTGATTTCTATGACTCGTGCTTCTATGTAGTGAAGAGTGGGTTGCAGGAGGGCAAGAGGGGACATGAAGAGACCAGAGAAATGGCTGTTGCAGTCCAGGCAACAGAACGTGGTAGTGTCTAACCAGGGTGTGGGATGGAGATGGAAAGAAATGGTTAGATTAGAAAAGCATTTTTGAGGAAAGTTAATGGGACCTGCTAGCATTTAGGATGTTGGACGTGACTTGACCATGTGGGTGCTGCCATCGACCAGAACTGGGAAGACTGGGAGCTGGGTAGGAGCAGGAAGGTGGGATGCAGTTTTGGGGGAACACATAAAGAAGTCTATTGTAGAGTCTGAGATGCCAATTGGACATCCAAAGTTAAGGTGTTAGGTAGGGAGTTGGCTTTTTGAATGTGGGGTTCAGAAACAAGGTTTGGATTCAGGATCAGTTAAGAATCTTCTGAATAATAATAATGTTCAAGGCAATGAGAGTGTCTATAGTCACATTGTAGAGAAACACGGGTAGAGAAGAAGTGTGAGCACTGAGCCCTGAGACATCCAATACTCAGAAATTGGGAAGTGTTATTGGTTGAATTATGTGTCCCCCCAGAAAGATATTTTGGCCCTGGCCAATTTGGCTCAACCTCAGAGAGTCCCAGGTTCGGTTCCTGCTTAAGGGCATGTACCTCGGTTGTAGTTTGTCCCCGGCCCCAGTTGGGGTCGTGTGGGTGGCAACCACTTGATGTGTCTCTCTCACATGGATGTTTCTCTCTCTTTTTTTTCTTATCCTCACTCAAGGACATTTTTTCATTTTTTGTTCAGATAGAGTGGGAGGGAGAGAGAGAGAGAGAAACATCGACGTGAAAGGGACACATCGACTGGTCGCCACCCGCATGACCCAACCGCAACCAAGGAACGTCCCCGTAGCGGGAACTGAATCTGGGTCTCTCTGGACCGCAGGCCGACGCTCCAACCGCTGAGCCAAACAGGCCAGGGCTTCTCTCTCTCTCTTCCTTCCTCTTTCTCTCCCACTCTATCTGAAGATAAATGTAAAAATGTCCTCAGGTGAGGGAGAGAGAGAGGGAGAGGAGAGGGAGAGGGAGAGGGAGAGAAAGAGAGAGAGAGAGAGAGAAGAATGAAAGAAAGGAAGAAAGGAAGAAAGGAAGGAAGGAAGGAAGGAAGGAAGGAAGGAAGGAAGGAAGAAAGAAAGAAAGAAAGAAAGAAAGAAAGAAAGAAAGAAAGAAAGAAAGGTTGGCATCCTAACTGTCAGTACCTGCAAATGTGACTTTATTTGGAAATAGAGTTTTTGCAAGTGATTTTTACTTGACCACACCCACTCTATTTCCAAATAAGGTCACATTCACAGGTACTGGGGATTAAGATGTCAATATATTTTTGGGGGGGGGAGACACTTTAATCAGTCAAGTCAATATCAGGGTACACCCCAATCCACTATGACTAGTGTCCTTACAAGAAGACAGACACGGGGAGGAGAAGGCTGTGGGAAGCTGGAGGAGAGATTGGGCTGAAACAGCTGCAAGATGAGGAACCAAGGATTGGCAGGCACTGTCAGAAGCTGGAAGAGGCAAGCAAGGTTTCTACCCGGAGATTCAAAGGGAGCACGGCCCGCTGACACCTTTATTTTGGACTTCCGGCCTCCAGAGCTGTGTGGGGACACATTTCTGTTGTTCCAAACCACCCAGTCCATGGTCCTTTCTTACGGCAGCCCCAGGAAACTACTACAGGGAGAAGGAGGGTCCAAGGAGAAGAGTCAGCCCAAGAGAAGGCTCCGACAGCCCCAACTCACCAGCACTGAACATCCGGCTTTGTGATGGGGTCCCTGGCTGGCCCCCCAGGAAGGGCAGGATACGAAAGGCCCAGGTCCCAAGGTTCTGAGGAGGGAGGGGCACCACAGCTGATCGCGCCTGAGGCCCCAGGATGAGCAAGGAGACCCAGTCCTTGTAGGTGACGGCTCTGCCCGGGTCAGGCCCCTGCGACCATGCCTGGATCTCAAAACCACTGACGAGGGCCCCTCGCTCCACATCCCAAGTCAGCACCACTGCGTTGTGGGCTCTCTGCAGCCTCCATGAGGAGATGGATGGTCCTGGAGGGATCAAGGTGGGGGATCAGGTTTGTGGGTCCTGGAGGGGAGAGGGAAGGGGGCTTCAGGCCTGGACTCATAGGTCTCAGGGGAAGGGGATCTGAAGACTCAGACTTCCAAGCCTATGAGAAGAAGGGGCTGGGTCTTGGAATCTTGGGTCTGAAGGAGGATGTGGCTAGATGCCTGGACTCCTTGGTTTGAGGGAGGAGGCAGCCAGTAGGCTGGACTCCTGGGTCTAAGAGAAGAGAGGACTGGAGGATCTGAACTTCTGGGTTTGGGGAAAGAACAGAACTCACCAGTGAGGGTGATCTGGTCGCCCCCAGCACCCAGCACCCCATTGCACAACACAGAGTAATTTCCTAGGTCCCAATCCAGGCTGAAGTTGCCAATGAAGAGCTTCCTCCCATCTTGGCTGAGCCTCAAGCGCCCCCCACCGCCTCCGGAGGCCAGGGGCCGTCCTTCTCTGGACCAGGATGCTCGCGAAGGCGGCCGACAGCCAGAAGCCTCCAGCGCCACCTCTGCCTCTCCTGACCGTGTCTCCTTCACCATCGGATGCAGCAGCACCTCTCGAGGGGCCTCTGCAGATGCAAGAAACAGTCCAGACAGTCAAGACCTCGCCCTGAAGTCAAAGAACAAGTCCTGTGCCCTTGGGTGAATCAAGCAGCGGTGCAAACGGCAGCACCTTAGTTAAATGAGGAAGCACCAACCATTCACTTCCTCCCTCATTTATTCATCATCTGACATCCTTAACAAGGACTTATTAAGTACATACTATAGGCCAGGTCCTAGGCTGGGACAGTCATGTTGTTCTCAACCCTTTATTGCTCTGAACACGTGGGAAGGTGTAAGCCCTCCTCCTGTGTCCAGGGAAGAAATTTTGTCCTATACCTGCTTAAGGTACAAGAAAAATCTGAGTCCTTCTGCAGGCTTAAAGACAAAGGAAATCCCTTTTTCTGGATTTAGGAAGTCCCCCTTTCTCGTGTCCTAAAGGAGTTAAGAAATACCCCGTCCTCCTCAGGAAATAGAAAAGAAGTCCCACCCGCTCTCACCTGGGGTGACAGTGCAGGTGCGCGTGGTCAGCAGGTGGCGAGCAAGGCAAGTGACTGGGACGCCGCTGAGCCGGGGGTGGGCGGGGACAGCTGCCAGGAGCACAGAGTGCGCCGGCCCCGCACGGACGCCTTCGGGGAGACCCTGGAACTGCAGGGAGGCGGCCGGGACCCCACCGGGCCACCAGCAGCGGAAGCGAAGGCTGCGGTCCCCGGGACCCCCTTCGACTGAGCACTGTGGGGACCCAGAGGGCAGATCTGCAGAGCGGAGGAAGGGATCAAGGAGTCAGCCTCTCTCCGCACACCCCTCTAGTGCCGCCTTCCCGCGCGTTCCCTCGGTCCCTTCTTCACTTAGCCACCCACCTAGACCGCGCCCTCCACGCTGGACCTGCCCCCTCCCGGTGTATCCCAGCCCCTGCTGGTTCCACCCCTTCTCCTGAGCATCCTCCCGCCTCTTTTACTAGGAATCCCCGCTCCTCCGCGATGGCCCCGCCCCCCGTTCTGGCCCCGCCCCCTCGGTGTAGTTTCGACCTTTGCTGGTTCCGCCCTTTCTCCTGGGCAACCCTGCCCCCTTCACGTGGAATCTCGGTCCTGCCCTGCCCGCCCCGCCCTCGGCGTCGACCCCGCCCCTGCGTTCTGGCCCCGCCCCTGCGTTCTGGCCCCGCCCCGCCGCGGTGGCCCCGCCTTCTCCAGGTACCCGCCACGGTGAGGTTGAGCAGCGAGCGGCGGCGGCGGCCGGTGCGCGGGTTCGCGGCCAGGCAGGCGTAGGCGCCGGCGTGGCCCGGCCCGACCGCGGGCAGCAGGAGGCGCGGGCCGGCGGGCACCGCGGCCTCGGCGGGGTCGGCCAGGCTCCACGCGATGTCGGCGGACGGCCGCGAGGCGGCGGTGCAGCGCAGGGTCACGTTGCTGCCCGCGGTGACATAGAGGGCGGGGGTGGCGTCGCGGTCCGAGGAGATCGAGATGACCGGCGGGTCCGGGCCGTCTGGGTGAAGGGAGTGGGGCGGAGCCACGAGGGTCAGGGTCCCCTGGTACTCCTCGGCCACCGGAGACTAGACCGCCAGTCCCCTCCTCCCCAGGGACTAAGGAGCCCCGACCCGAGGCATACCCCGACTCACAGAAGACACTGACATCGGCCGCGGCCTCCGTGTGGCCGAAGGGGCTGCGGACGCGGCAAGTGTACCGGCCGTGGTCGCTGCGCACAGGACGCGCGATGAGCAGCTGGTCGCCCTCTGCGCGGATCCGGGGCGGCTCCGCTCCCTCCGGGTCCGCTGCCTCCAGAGCGCGTCCGTCCCTGCTCCAGCTCAGCTCCCCGCAACTCGGCCTCCACCCTCGGCAGCGCAGCCGGAGCTCGGCCGCCCCCTCCTCTGTCTCCGGGGCCTCGGGCTGCACCGACAGCTGAGGCAGGGGCTCTGGGAGAGGAGGACCGTACTTAAGACCCAGCCACCGGCCACCTCCTCCCTTAGGTCCTCGACTCCGAGCCCCAGCCCCTCCACCCCCTCCACCCAGGACTTCCAGGCCCAACAGGGCCTCCTCTTAGGCCCAGTCCTCTTCTCACAGACCCATGAGTCTGAGTCTCCAGCTCTCTCATCTAGAGAACTCAGGGGTCCAGGAACCCCAGGCGCCCTAATCCCCAGGTCCAGCTTCCCTCAGGTGCCCCGATCTTAGCCCCCAGCCCCTTTTCTCCTCCCTCCAACCCAGAAGTCCTCTCTCATCTATCCCTTTCTTCTGGGGAGAAAACATTCTCAGAACAGCAGTGACCAGCCCAGAGGTCTGCATTCTGGACCTCAGAGCCCACTTACCATATACACCCACCGTGAACTCCCGAATCTGCTGGGAGACCCCAGCCCGGATAATCTCAGCCGTGTAGACCCCAGCATCCTCCAGCTGGGCAGAGGCGAGTTCCAGGCCCCCTCGGGCCTGGTCAAATCGCAGGCGATCTTGATGAGCAGGGTCCAGGCTGATCAGAGGGGCCCCTGGCCCCAGGCCACCGGCTGCCAGCACTTTGGAAGCTCGGCGCCAGACCACCAGAGGGTCAGGCGGCCCGGGGCTGGGGACTGGAACCAGGGGGAGCTGGATAGTGGTCCCCACCAGCACCGCGAGAGGCCCCCCCACCTGCTGAGGGAAGCTTGGTTCTGGTGCAGTTTCTGCAGGACCTTTGGGTTCAGGGCTCTGGGTGGAGAATCTAAGATCCAGCTTCTCAGGGGAGAACTTTAAACCTGGGCCCGCCACAGATACATTAGCATCAGGGACTTGAACAAAAATGTTTGACGCTGGGGTCTTAGAAAAGGAAGGCTCTGGGTCTTTGGCAGGAACTTGAGAATCCAAGGTATCAGAAAGTACTTGGGAACCGGAGATCCCAGAGATGGTGGGCTCCAGGCCCAAGTTTTGGTCCTGAGCAGAAACATTTGACCAGAAGGACCCAGGTACATCGTTCCAATTCAGGGCCTCAGGAATCCATTTGGAATGGGGGATATTAGCAGTGGCCCTTGAACCTGAAGACTGATCCAGAAACTCCGCTCTGGGGGCTTTGCTGAAAGAAACATTCAAATCCAGGCCCCGGGAAGAGCTTTCTGAGTCAGAGATGGAATTCGTTCGCTGAACTCCAGAAGAGTCTCTGAGAGCGAGGACCCCTACTCCGGAGGCTGCAGAGAAGAGGAGGGGAGGATGTTGGGGGAGCAGGGCTGCTGAGAAGGGGGACTGGTGGGAAGGGGCTGAGCAGGAGACTTACCCAGGAGCAGGAAGAGTGGCAGAGCCTGTGAGGTGTCCATGGTGCTGGCCGCACCCAGGACACACTGGAGTGAGACTCCAGGCCAGTACCTGTCCCTCCCTGGACAAGTCCAACAGGACTGGTAGCTTCCTGGGCGGGGAAGGGAGCCAGACACAGTGGGAGGTGCCAGGGTCCCCTACCCCAATCTGGTGGCTGAGCCACCCACCCCACCCCACTGGTCCTCATCAGCTGGTCCCACGTGAGGGGAGGCCCAACCCGACCCCTTCCCCCTCCACACTCAGTCGGGGAGATAGTGAGACCTGAGTCCCGGCTGGAAACATGGGGGCAAAGCCAGAAAGCCTTCCTGGAGGAGGGTGAGGTGGCCTTTCAGAGAGCCCCACCTCTGTTGGCCTTAGCTTCAGCTCAGGCCTCCTCCTCCCCAGCCTCCTGGCCTCCATTCCATTCTGTAGCTTCAGATATACCCACGTCTGGCCCTGCTCCTCCTCTGCTCCAAACCCTCCCATGATTCCCTGTTGCCCTCAGGACCAAGTCTCAAGTAGCTGTCTTCCACCCAGTCATCTCCCCCTGAGACCCAGAACTGCTTCAAGTCCCCTAGAGCCTCCACGTCCTGCGCCCCCACTAAACTCAGCATCTTCCCTCTCACCCCCACCTCCTCCCGGGTTCTCCATCTCAAGTACAGTCCTCCCTTCCCCTCCTTCCTCCGTCCTCCCTTGCCCTCACTATTGTGAATCTGAATCCCACTCCTCTGCCTGCTGCATCTCTCTGTCCCATGTCTCTGCTTCCACTGGCCAGGCCCCAGCATAAGCCCCACTTTCTCCCCCTGGCCCCTCGCCTAGCCTGTCTTCAGCCATGTCTCCTACAGTCCATGGATCCCCACATGACCCCTGAGTCTTTCTACACCAGAGCTGCCCCTGCCCCTTCCTTGTTCACAGCCCTCCCATGGCTCCCCAGGGCCCTCAGGAGACAACCAAAGAATTTCCAGATCCCACCTGGCCTAGACCCATGCACTGCCCCCATTCCCTCCCCACTCCAGCACCTACTCTTTGAATACCCTGCCATTCTTAGGCCCATCTCTTCCCTCCCAGATTTGCAGATGCAGTGTCCTCTGCCTGGAATGCACTCCCTCACTCCCCGCCTCCCTCCAACCCGGCTGAGCTACAACTTGTCCTTCAGGTCTCTCACCAACAACGAAAATAATAATTACCACTTATCATGCACCGGGAACCGTGAAAAAATGTTTCCCAGACACTGTGGGCTGAATCCTTCCAAACGCCCTATGAGCTGGGTGTTTACCATCCAGGAGACAACGGCTCAGAGAGGGACCTACTGGAGCTTGTACAGCCAGAGGGAGAAGCTGGGCAGCCTCAGCCCGGGATGGTGAGGCTCCCTCCTTCTGAAAGCTTTTCCTACCACCCCATGCTGGCCTTAGCACCTCTACTCAGGTCCCAGTCCTCTGAGCTTACTCAGCTAGAGTTCTCACCATGCAGATAACAATAATGATACTACTATATAGTGAGCATCTTCTGCATGTTGAGTGTGGTTCTGGGGGTACTACATTAACTCTTCAAAACCCCACAGGGTAGGTTTCATAGTTTCAAGATGGCTGAAAATTCAACCTCTCTCCCCTTGTATTTGGGTTTGTTCTGTGACCTCTAGACCAAGAGAGTACAGTGGAAGTGACCCTGGGTTTTTATACTTAGGCCTCAAGAGACTGGCATATTCCACTTTCTGTGTCATGGAACACTCCCACTAGGAACCCAGCCGCCATGCTGCGAGGAAGCTCAAGCAGCCCCATGAAGAGGAATCATGGCCCCTAGTGAACAGCCAGCTTGAGCCAACATCGCCAGCCAGCTTGCAAGCATGTGGCAGATCCAACTTGGACGTCGATCCTCTGGCCCTATTTGAGCCATGGGAGAGAGGAGAGCAGTCCCTGCAAGTCCTGCCCAAATCCCCGATTTCCAAGCAAAGTAAATGATTGTTGGGCTAAGCCACCAAACAGCAGACAACAAGGTCACAGGTATTGTTACTAACTCACCTGATGGAGGAGGAAAATCAGGCTTGGAGAGTAGGAAGTTGTCAAAGGTCCTCCTGGAGACAGGGATCAGCTTGGATCTGAAATCAGGGCCTCAGGATCCGGACCCCAGGCCCATAACCACTACACTAAACTCCTACTGCTTCAATAAGCCAAGTGAGGAAACGGAAGCTCAGACTTAGGAAGTAGCTCACTCAAGATCTCACAGTTGCTCTGGCCAGTTTGGCTCAGCAGTTGGAGCATCAGCCCTCAGACCAAAGGGCTGTAGATTCGATTTCCGGTCAAGGGCACGTACCTGGGTTGCAGTTCAATCCTCAGCCCGGTTGGGGTCATGTGGGAGGCAACCAGTAGATGTGTCTCTCACATCAATGTTTCTCTCTTTCTCCCTCTCTCTCTCCTTCCCTTCCACTCTATCTAAAAAAACAAACAAAAAAATCAATGGAAAAATATCCTCAGATGAGGATTAAAAATAAAAAATCTCACAGTTTGTGAGAGTGAGACTTTGAAATCACTAAGTCTGACTCCAGGTCTCGGCTCTTCATCCCTATACCAGGTTTACAGTTTTGATGGTCTCTTGCTGGTCTGTCTCCCCAACTGGAATCAGAGCTTCTGGCCTCCTTCCCTCTTGTGTCTCAAGTCTCAGCAGGGGCCCAGCACCCAGGAGCCCCCAGCAAACATTGTGCAAATGAAAGCCCTTTCCACCCCATCCCCCATCTCGCTGATATTTGTCTTTCAAGACTCAGATGCCACCACGCTGGGAAGTCTCTTTGGCCCCATGTGGGCTCCCAGTGCCCAGTGCTGTCTCCACGTACAACATACAACACCCCACTTCAAGGCTGCCTTTGTCCATGTCTGCCCCACCTTTAACATGGAAGCTTCAAAAAGGCAGCGGCACGATGTGACTCACCTGGGTCTCTGGCATTGCCCAGCACAGGGCCTGGCACACAGGAAAATTAAGTAAATATTTGTTGAATGAATCAAGGAATGGGTGTCCATGGAATGAGTTAACAGAGACAGATGTCGAGAGTCATAGTTTTATTGCCAAGTTTCACAGAAGGGGCTCAAATCCGCCCGATCTCCCTCAGCTTGGCCACCAGGTCCTCCGTGGTCTCCACCTTGACGCCAGCTGTGCGCTGAGGCGGGTCCTCCACACTAACTACAGAGAGCTTGGAGGTCAGGTCCACACCCAGGTCGCCAGCCTTGATCACCTCGATCTTCTTCTTCTTGGCTTTCTACACATAGGAAACCACAGTTCACAAAGCTGCCAAATCGCCTGCCCGCCCTCCTGCATCCCCCATGAGTGCCACATCTGCTAACAACTCCCACTGGCTGAATCCTTCTGGACCTACCCACTGGCCAGGACACATGACCTAGTACAGGGCCACACCTGGTATGGACAATTCCTGTTGGCTGGGATGTCCTGGGAAGCCCTTCTACTGTGGGAGTCCTCCTTAGTCAACAGCCTTCAGTGGCTGGAGTGAACTGGCAAACTCATCCTCTGGCAGTAATAACTCATTGGACTTTTGGCCAAACTGACCCATTAAACTCATCCTATTGGCTGAGATGACTCAATAAGCCCATCTTACTGGATGAGCTGACCCACTGAAACCTCCCTATTGCTGAGATGACTCATTGAGCCCACCCTACTGGCCAAGATGACCCACTGAATTCTCCCTGGATAGGATTACAGAATGAACTGTTCCTATTGGTTGTAATGACAAGGGGGACCCTTTTTATTGTCTGATGAAGCCTTTCTGTTGGCTGAGGTACACAGCAAACCTTCCCTGTTAGCCAAAACAGCCCCCATGAGCTCTCATTATTGGCACAGGTGACCCAGTGAACCCTCTCTGTTAGCCAAAATGACCAGTGACCCCTTCCTTTGGATGAGATGTCCCTTGGATCCTGTCTCCTCCCACATGACCACCAGGGAGGCACAGGGCTTGCAGCACTCACCCATTCCCAGGCCCTCAGTGACCCCCACTCACAGGCCCCCAGTGACTCATCTGCCAGGGGCTCACCATAATGTTGGGCAACGTGGCATATCGGGGCTCATTGAGCCGCAGGTCGGCAGTCACCACGGCAGGCAGCTTCAGGCGCACGGTCTCCAGGCCCCCATCAATCTCCCGCTCCACTTTCACCTTGTCCCCTTCCAGTGTCAACTGGGAGGCAAAGGTGCCCTGGAGAGGGACAGCATGGAAGGAGTGGGCAGATTAATTCAGGGCGGCCACCGAGTGGTCCTCCACAGGCCATTCCGCGGAGTGCGCGCAGAGGCATGAACGAATGAGAACAGAAGGGGGGGTATTCTTCAAGGCGACCTATAGACATCAAGTTCAAAACAGGGGGAAGCCACAGAAAGGGATCTCAAAAATCTAGAGGGTGTCTTCACTTTCTCTGGAAGCCAAGGTGTAGGTCCTAACAACCCGAACATGCCAGTGGGTCTCCCTTGGTTAATGATAATGAACACAAATTGAGTATTGGATGCTGTTCTAAGTGATTTAAATGAATTAAGTCATCCGATCCTCATTGGAACTCTTTGAGGGAAATGTTATTATCCCCAGTTTACAGATGAGGAAAACTGAGGCAGAGAGAGGCTCAGAGACATTCCCACTGTCACCCGTAGCTGGCAAATCCGAAAGCTGGCAGTCTGGGTCCAGGCTCCATGTCATGCTGTCACCTAGGCACCATCCCACCCCCAGGAGTGCCCTTCAAGGCCCCTCTGCTCGGCCGACAACAGCCGTGTGTGCTCACCTCCACCCTTGGAACATCCTGGGGCCCCATCTTTTTGGCTCAGTGCCCATCCTCTCAACAAGGCCCCTCTGCCCCTCAGTCCTGACTCATCATTTCCTGACCGACACACTCTTTGTCTAACCAATCTGTTCTCTCCATTCACTTAGTCTCTAGACAAATCTTTCAGGTCGTGGTTGGAATGTCCCATTATCCTCCGTCTCCTTCGAGTGTCCATGAGCCCAGCTCTGGGGGTATACCGTGATCACGACCAACCAGGCCCTGCCCTGCTTTGGTGGGCGCTTACCCTGGCAAGGAAGGCCA